AGCGAGTTTTATATTTAAAAGTGTTTTGCAGCACTTTAAAAAAATATCCCGTTTTAATGTGTGTTAACAATAAAAAACGAACTTTGGCCCAGACACGGTAAAAAGTCAACAGCCTCTTTAAACTTTGACAACATATGATTTTTGTTCCTCTCATGGAGTAAACATAGACTCAGATGACAAACAGTTCTCCTTTTTTTATTTTTAGAACTATGTCGAAATTGAGAAGTAAGCACTTTGCTTACAACCTAATTTCCTAATTTCCCTCTGGGATTAATGAAGTATTTTTTAATTGAATTGAATTGAACCATCAGTGTGAAAGCGATGTGTAGCAGAGTTATTGGTCTGGAGCATACAGATGTGTGTTAATACATGGAGGAAAGCCATCAGTAATCATCTTACTCTGACTCTGGTTTAAATTTTAAAGGTGTGGAACACTGAACATTTTTTTAAATCTTATTTCTCATTATAATCAGTGACTATGAGTTTTTCATGCAGGCTGAACATGAAAATAGTCTCCTACACCTATCTCCTGTATTTGCTTCTGATAGAAAATAGACGGTGAAACTCTAGGATTAGAAAAGCCTGACAGATCTACGTCACGCTGTCGCTTAAAATTCATGAACTCACCCATCTTGACTCGTGATGGGAAAGATTGTTGTTTTAGCATCCAGGAAACAGCTGAGAATGTCTCGGCTACTAAGAAGCTAACAGTTAGCATTAGCAACTGTGGAGATAAAACATCAACGCTGCAGAGTAAACAGTGGCACATTGCTGTCATCCAATCAGAGGAGAGATGTCCAAATATCAGGAAACATAACACATTCTCACACCCTAAGCGTCGGAAACAAACGCTTGGTCAGCCACCCTCCATGTCCACGTCAGACCCCAGACGCCAAAAGTGCCCTTTTTCATTACTTATGTGCGAAAAGGGTTTTTTCCCTTTTGTAACTGCAGATCCCAATGCAGCGTAAAACTGACGTGATTAGATATCCGCTGATGCTGCACCGAACCAGCTCGTTTAACTGCAACTAAACCTTAACATTTCACTATTTATAACCTTCCCCTCTCCCTTATCCTAACCTTAACCCTCATTTAACCGATGTGGCACCGAACCAGCTCGTTTAACCGCACCTAAACCTTAAATGCGGCACAGAACCAGCTCATTTAACCGCACCTAAACCTTAACGTTTCACTATTCATAACCTTCCCCTCTCCCTCAACCTAACCTTAACCCTCATTTAACCGATGCGGCACCGAAACGGCTCGTTTAACCGCTCCTAAACCTTAACGTTTCACTATTTATAACCTTCCCCTCTCCCTCATCCTAACCTTAACCCTCTTGCTACCTAAAACGTTACTCTCACTGTGATCAAGCGTTTGTTTCCCATGCATTCTGACTCTGACAGTCAGAGTCTGACTGTGAATTTTCGTATTTGCCGCCCAAGGGGAACGTTAGAACATACCATTTGGCGAGGGGGAGGTTACACATACCCTCTACTTTTAACCTCCACCGTGGTAGCTGAAACCCCCCCCTCGCGTTGGCTCGGTCCAAACACGACCAATCACGAGGCGGCTCCCGCTGTTCACTTCATAGAGCCGGCTTTTAGAGCAACCGACACATCACTAACGTGTTCGCTAGCAAGATGGTTAAGGTTAGGATGGGGTGAGGGGAAGGTTAAATGAGAGGATAAGGTTAAATAAGAGGTTAAGTTTAAGGTGAGGTACAATGAGCTTGTATGGTGCCCTGGCTGCGGACATCCCATCACGTCAGTTTTACGCTGCATTGGGATCTGCAGTCAAATAAGGGAAAAACCCCTTTTCGCACATAAGTAATGAAAAAGGGCACTTATGGCGTCAGGGGTCTGAAGTGGAGGGTAGCTGACCAAGCGTTTGTTTTTGACGTGCTGGGAGTGAGAATGTATTGAGACTCCAAATCCTGCTGCTTAAAGCTCAGCTGTGATGTGGCTCACTTCGAGTTCCTGGAAATTGTGCACCAGTGTTTTTTTCCCCCCAGAGTAAAACTTGCAAGGCATTCATTCATTCCAAATTTATAGAGTACAGGGTTTGCCCCAGAAAATGAGTTAAACATGGTGGATTTGGCCATGGGGGGGGGGGGGGGGGGGGCTCCGTCCCGCAGTGCTCCGTCCCGCACGCTCCGTCCCGCAGTGCTCCATCCCTCGGCGCTCCTCCGTGGGGGGGCACGACGCTTAGCCTGGCGGGTGGCCAAGCAAAGCCTGGCGGCAGGCTTAGCACTGGGGGAAACCCTGGAATGAGTGTTCATCACCTTTAAAGGTCATCACAGCTCATTTAGAAACAGACTGAACAAGTACGACTTGTTTTGGGACGTTGCCAGGAGCAACTCCTGTCTTTAAAGGGAATTTAGTTTCTTAGGTTTGCAAAAGCTACATCGGGGAGAAAAAACAGCGTATCTGAAACAACGGGAGATGGGTAGCACAACCTTTTCAGACCTGATATGCATGAAGAGCATGCACTACTAACTAATATTAATAATAATCCCTTATTTTCTTTTGCGTTTATGTTTATGTATTTAGCAGAAGCTTTTGTCCAAAGCGACTTACAAGTGATAATCGGCATGTTGCCCTTGAGGCTAACAACAACAATAACAACAACAACTTGACATCAGCCATGGAGAGGAGGGAACAAGGAGTGGACAGTAGAGAGGGGGGACGGGTGCAGGGAGGGTGCTGGTTTAGAAGATGCTCTCTGAAGAGCAGGGCCTTCAGGAGTTTCTTGAAAATTGAAAAGGAAACCCCTGTTCTGGTAGTGCTTGGTAGGTCATTCCACATTTGTGGAACGATGCATGAGAAGTGCCTGGATTGTCCTGAGCGTGGTGTAGGCACTGCTAGCGTAGCATAGCCATCACAGAAGTCACACTACACAGAACAAGCCACATAGTTCCTACGTCTTTTGTGAAGCTGATGCCTGGACGCATGTTTCTATTTTTCTGTCAAGCAACGAGGAAGGAAGCATGCTGCAGAGAGGAAGGAGAAGGTTTACAACACCTCCCTGGTAATAATGAGTCAAAACTTCCACTCTCAGATAATTTACTGCGTGAAGTTCAACGTTTATTTTTGCTTTTATCACAGATCGATGCCCAAAAATGTCCTGGGACTGACTGGTTGATTGGTTAAACACCCTACAGGTCCATGCACTTAAATATTTGGCTTTTGCATTTAAATATTTGCATTTTGGTCCACCTTAAATTAAAACATAACAAGTGTTTCTTGTTTTGTGCACAAGTGCATTCTGGTGTTGTAGACGGTTTTAAATGGGTATTGTATCTTTGGCACCGTAACCTCGGACACATACAGTTACAGTTAGAGATAGCACCTACAGGTGAGTCGTGCCGAGTTCTGAATCATCATCGGATCACATTTACAGCAGTAGGAATCTGGTGGATTTGTTATCTGAAGTATGAAGAGAAGGATAGGCACCAATGCTGCTTTCTGTTCTGTTTACATCTCACCTCGTTGTTATTAAGGTAAACTCCAGCAAAGCCTGTAATTACACTACTAATGAACATTTACAGTCGTGGAGGTCCAGAAACCTGAACTTCAAAGTTGATTTGGGGTTTTTGGGTGGTTTTAAAAGGTGCCTGTATGTAAACAACACCTGGATTAGGTTGTTTTGAGAGTATTATCCTCCTTGTTTTCAATATGAAAGTTATTTTTGTCTATATAAACCTGCCAAACTGATTTGATTTGACTTATTGTCTCAGCAGTGGCCTGAGTGTTAAAGCAGGAGGAAATCCACATCATTTTTTTAAAGTTCTTTAACAAAAAAGCTTTAAAAAATAGACATCAGATAATCATCAGATATATAAATCAGATAATCAGATTTCATATATAAAATATGATCCACTGTTCCCTAGATTAAAGGTGATAATAAGGGGAAGCAGTAAAGCCGCTGAGTTTAGGGACAACTCTCATCTGAATCTATTTTTAAGCAAACTGATTTTTATCAGAGAACATATTTTCTTTACTTTATCACCAAAGGCAGCTGGTCTGGAATTTCTTTAGGTGAGCTCAGTCTGAAAAGAAAACCTTTTAAATTCATGGATTTGTTTGAGCTAAGGCGGGGATATTGTCAACACAGTGACACCATTTTCCAGTAAAAATAAATTTGTTTTTAGAGAAGTAGCATCAAAAGTGGCGCTCGTTGGCCCAGGTGATTAAAAATAGATAAAAATGGGTGAATTTCATCTTCACCCCAGGAGATCACTGCTTATAAAAGTAGAGAAAGAGGAACACCTGCTTGTGGTTTTTTTAAACTATAAAATATGGGAATCGTCATGCTTCCTTTTATGAATCACTCCTGGACAGGAGTGTTCACACGCTGACTCACAGAGAAAACAGCTAAGTGGCTTTTTTCCCTCTTTTTCAAAAGAATAAAACTTGTTTATCTGAGATCCAGATGTGGAATCTATTCTAGGAGCTCCACTCGGTGACCTGCGAGTACACCACACCTTTTTTATTTTGCATCACTAAAAGTCAGGCTAGGAGCAGCTGAGCAGGCGCAGTCGGACCAAGAAAGGCTCATGATGTTGGGTTTCAACAAAAGGAAAGCCTGGCTGATCTGACCTTCATGTCTTTGAACCAGTAGCTCTTCCGGTGAATGGGTCTAATGTGGGCGGAAGCTTACAACTGATTTATGACACTGACCAGCAGCGTGACAAAAAAATGTAAGTTGCACAAGAGGAGATAACCTTAGTGTTATCAGGAGACAAACCCAGATGTCTGACTCCTCTCAACAGTCCCTGATAACAGCTGCATTTTTGGCACGTGTTTAAAAAAATGTCCTTAGTAATAATTCAGCCTGCTCTAAAAACCCTTATTTCAATGTCAGTTCCTAAACTCCACTCTAATTAAAGTGGTTTAATTGTGGTTTTGTAAAACCAACAAGTTGTTATTTTTTATACAGTAGGTCTAAATCTCTGTCAGGTGCCTCAGATTAGGATTACCAACACATAAAGACCTTACCTCATGTCTGAATGTGAACTCTCCCCTTCTTCCAGTGTCCTCACTAGAAATAATAACATCAGAGGTAAAAGTTGGACGGCTGTTTGAGACGCGTCCTCTTCTGTCAGTGTGACAGTTTGTATGAGCAGCTGAGCTCGCTGAGAGGGCGGTGCTCTGGAGTGGGACACGTCCCAGATCTGCCACCGTCCTGCTGTATGGAGCTAGAATATGATAATATTAAAAACACGCTTCGGCACATACCTTCTCTCTGTGGATCACAGAGAAACTTCGGCTGGTAGCTGAAACGGGATTCGTGCGTTTGTTTCGTTCGATTTTAAACAAACAAATCAATTAAAAGGTGCTTTATCCTGATACAAAGTGTACTTTTACTGTGAGACTGCCAGGCGTCAGGAGTCCCCAGACCCCGGGTTGATAAAAACACTCAAACCCACGTTTCAGTGTGTCAGCAGAAACTATAATCTAGCTGCTCAGTGACTAAACCGCTGAATAAACTAGAGACACGTGAAGTCTGTGGCATGCTTCCAGCGGGAGGGGGATGCTGCCACCTGGTGGTTGGCTGGTGATACTACAGTCCAGTTCTGAGTTTAGTTTAGTTTAGTTTAGTTTAGTTTAGTTTTCTGTCATTGTTTGTTTAATTAAAGATAATGTAAAGATAAAGATATTAGTCTTTTTATGCGTCAAACAATGAGATCAATACTTATCCTTTATATTTAATTAATTCAGTGAAAACTCCTTATCTTTAGACCTTTAGGGCCACGTGTCAGACATAAGGGCCGTGGACCAGATGAGGCCTACGGAGCATTTTTAAGTGGCCCGCGAGATAAATATAAAAAATGTAGTAAAACTGACCCGCTGGCCGATTTTACGGCAAAGACTGCAACTCCCATGATGCTTTGCGGTGTTGGCGGTGTTGGCGGCACTGAAGCGCCCCCTCCTTTGTGTTTTTTCCAGCATCTGCTACCGGTGTCTGCAGCTCCGCTGTCTCGGACAGTCTAAACACTCCTCTCACTCAGCGCCGACGTTGAAGCCCAGAAACGAAGATTTTAGCCGCTCAGTAATGTGTTTACGACTGATAGAGAAAGTTTTACAACTAACGTCCAGACAGAGCTAATATAACTCCAGCAAGCAGTGGCATGCTCAAATCAGCATGACTCTGTGGCTGCTATAGTTTTTATTTTTCCTCCCCGACACACAACAATGTGGTCAAGCTGCTCAGACATGTTCAGCAGCACAAACCTATGTGAGCACCTGTTGTCATCTAATGTTGTCATTATTATGATGAAGATGAACAAAACAACAGGAGTCTCCTCCTCAGCTCAGATCAACCCCATGATGCAGGTATCTGGCTGGAACAGGTGAGCATCTCAGTAAATCAGAGGAGCAAACTGAGCTTTAAATATGTTGGTTTTATGCTCTTTTTCTGCTACAAAACATGAAAGTTAACAGGTGAGATGTTGCATTTTCATTTAAGATAAAATGATATTTTTATTTTGTTGTTGGCCCGTGAGAAAAGATTTAACCTACAGTAAACAGGAAGTGGAAAGGCTAGTGCAGATAGATGATTAGAATAGAAAATCCCTTCATTGTTCCACAGTGGGGAAAGCTAGACGTCACAGCAGCGATGACACTTATTACAGGAGAAAAAAAGGAGTATAACAAATAAGAAAAACGAATAAGCAACAAGAAAACATAAATCCTGAATAGATTTTAAAAATGCTGAATGTATCACAAGTAATGAATACCACTGATGCCTTTTATTTAAAATTGACTTGCTCGTGTGTAATTTGGTTATTCCACATTCAGTGTTAATGCAAAAATAAATTTGTTTCCAAATTAAAAAGTTCAAAATTGCATATGTTGATAAAGAAAATATGCAAATTTGCTGTCACTTTTTCAGAAAAATATTAAGTTTGGCCCTCGACTTCATCCCAGATTTTCATTTCGGCCCATTTGAGTTTGACACCCCTGACCTATAAGAAGAAGTTTTTGTTCATTACCTTGTTTGTTTGTTTGTTTGTTTGTTTGTTTGTTTGTTTGTTTGTCACATAATAATCTTTAATAATGTAAACACACTGCAAAACTGAAAATAGTGGAACAATCAATATGACATTTAGGACAATTGTAGTGGATGCAATATGTTGGCATGTGTGCAAGGCTGCAAACATTTGCGAAAATCTCGTAGTGAGATTTTATTTTATTTTTTCTTGGAGCAGGGGTGAACCAAGTACAGAGGGGTCATTCCAAAAAGCATTATTGGTATAAATGACATGATTAGTCTGGCAGAGAAAAGTCCAGTTTAGCCAATTGAGGGTTGAAATAAACAGGATGATGCAAAGTCCCCAATGTCATTTGATGAGTGGAATAAATTCGAAATGAAATAAATTGCGTTAAAAAAGGCAGATTTTTAATTTTCTGGGGCAAACTGAATGCTAAAATAACTTTTTTGCTTTGCAAAAACACAATGTTAACAATTTGTTAGCAAAACACAAGAAAAGACGTTGATATATGGAAAATGTATTTCATACCCATTTTTCCATTGCGGGACAGTTATTTCATGTTATAGCTTTTAATTTAAACTTAGTGAGCTTATATCACACCGAAGGTCAATCTTTACCAAAAATAATGTTTTTCTAATATTACATTCAGAGTTAAAAACTATCAGTGTTTGTGTTGGACTGCTAACAAATAGGTAATGTTTATACAGGTGAAATAAAAAATAGAACATGGTGCAAAGTTCATTTATTAATTCAGCTTAAAATGTGAAACTAATAAAGGAGACTCATTAGTTTTTATATGAAAAGAGAGATATTCCTAGCCTTTACTTGTTATAGTTGGGATGATAATGGCTTACAGCTTATGAAAACCCCAAATTCAAAATCTCAGACAATTAGAATACAGTATTGTGAAAAGGTTTAATATTCTAGACTCAAAGTGTTACACTTTCATCAGCTAATAAATCCAAAACACACCTGTAAAGGGTTCCTGAGCCTTTAGATGGTCTCTTAGTCTTTGTTTGATTACTAAAATAAGTGGAACTTTGCACAAAACTAAAAAATTCAAGTTTCACTTAGCAGTCCAACACAAACACTGATAGTTTTTTAGCTCTAAATATTAGCAAAACATAAATTTTGGTAAAGATTGACCTTCGGTGTGATACTATTGGAAGGTTTCTATAGTTGTATTGTGAACAAGATTGACTTAGAAATGTGTTTCATCTACCATCTGTTGCTATTTTAAAATTTAGCTATGAATTTTAGCATATTTCTACTTTGCCCTGTACTTTAAATTTATAATAGTTATATATGTATTATGCATAATAACATATAAAACATAACATATGCTGTTAACGCTAATTTAAAAACCACTGGAAATTTATGACTTGTTTAGCTTTATAAACACTGTAATAACACCGTGTGTACACCAGAAGGCAGAAACCCCCTTACTCTTAAAAGCCAGATACTAAAGGTATTTATTGGTCTTGAACTAATAACTAACAGTTAATAGTAGTTTGACATACATTAGTAGAAATTACAAACTAATGCTAGTAAAATGTTGTAACTATAATACATTAATTGAATTTACTAAGCAAAACAATCCGTCGCCATCTGTATGCTATAAGTTTACTCATTTAAAAGACACAACGTGAGTCCATACAAGCAGTGCTATATAAATGATCATTTGTTTGTTCTTACCCGGTAAGTTAAAATTTATAGAAAAAACCCAGGGCGTGTGTACCTTTATTTTATTAAAACTTCCGGTGGTGTCTCGTTAGCATTTCCGCTTCCTCCCTCCCAACGGCTCTTGATGTTACCACTTTGCAAAGGGGCAGTGGCTGGCTGTGCACCTATCTTTGTGGCTGACGTTGACCTGACCAGCTGTGAGTACCTCGTGTTTTCCGTACTTTCCTATAATTTTAGACATTTTTGTTTCCTTTAAGAATGACTAGATAATTCGAACTGGTGTGTCGCGTATTTAAGTATCATCGCTTAGAGTCTTCCTGTTGGTTCTGCTTGTGTTTGCCCGGCTAGCTTAAGGTGCTAGATGACGTTATAATTAGTCGCTCTGTTTAGCTGGTTGTGTGTTCACGAAAAATCTTAGTAATTGTCAGCAAAGTTATGTCTAAGTTTCAAATAACAAAAGTCTTAAAAGGCGATGTTTTCTTTTTTTTAATTCAGCTAGAAAAGTTCGTGTTATGATGTCCAGAGTTCGTGTATGAGAGAATTTTGACCTGCTAGCGTGACGTGCTCGAACGTTTGTTTGTTTGTTTGTTTGTTTCCCGTGTTAGCGAAGAGGTGTGCTACGAGAGTTTCCTTCTGGCTACACGGCTCGTGCAGGTGCACATGTACACTCTTCGTTGTTAGTCTGTTATTGTACGATTCTGTCCACAGACAGTGTAGCATGAAATCCTCAATTCAAATTTCAATGAATTACACTTAAATGTCAGAGTTGTCTCATTAAAAACTCAGTTCAGATACTGCCCCTCTTTCTCTCATTTAAATTAACTTTAACAGAGCCAGTCCCACAATTGCATAAAATCTTGAGTAAGAGCTCCTATTGCCCAAGTCAAACAAAGTTCAGAGACTGAAACCTAGCCAACATTTAGGTGTATAGACCAGACGGGGAAGTGTTGGGTAATCTGAGTGATTATTTTTATTTTCAGTGCAGGATTTAGGTCTCATTTTGTAAAAACGTGTTGGTAGTTGACATTGTTCGACCTGAATTAGATGGCACAGACAGCGAAGGCAGTAGCACTTATAGAAATAGAAGTGACGTTTGGTGGGTGTGGAGTATCTGAGGAAAGGCACTTTAACTATGCAGCAGGAAACAATGTCAGTGGCTGCCTGATGAGGAACATAGAGCAAGGCCTTCATCTGACACGTTTGTCCTGTTTTTTACGACATTCAGTAATCAGAGATACACAATGAGTTAGGATTTCTCTGTATTTTTCCAAAAATATTTTTGTTGTTTGGAAACTGTTTTTCTCACTTTTATTTGTTTAAAAAAATAACTTGATCCATTGTTGAAAAATAAATGTCAGTCCCGTCCATATTTAAAGGTTGTTTTATTTACATTTTTCAGGGAATCCTTCCCAGGTTAGAAGGCAGCAACACAAGTCTTGATGAGCAAACTGAGGTGCTGATGGGGATGACTGTGGTTCACACATGAGGTCTCACTAAGAAGCCCTGCCATGTTGCCAGGTGTTGGCGTTTTTGGTACCGGGACAACAGCCAGAGTGCTGGTCCCATTATTGCAAGCCGAAGGCTTTGAAGTTCACGCACTTTGGGGACGAAGCGAAGAGGAAGCATGCTGCTTAGCAAAGGAACTCGGTATTCCATTCCACACCAGCAGATCTGACGATGTCCTTTTGCACCAAGATGTGGATCTTGTTTGCATTTATATTCCTCCTTCTATGACGAAACAGATTGCAGTCAAAGCACTGGGTAAAGCTTAATCTTTTGTTAGTTATTATGTATACTTGGTGTTCTTTCAATTAACTATAAATCATTGTGCAACATGTACAATTTGATCTTTAAATTTAAGAAAAACAAATTTATCCTTTTAACTTTTGAAATAAGTTTTTATTCTCTGTATTTTTTGCAGTTTACACTGTGCTTTATTTATGACTTACCAGGGTGCGGTACAACAGATGCAGAACACATTTGCATAAAAGCCAAGCTGCACCTCCTTATCTGAAAATATTTATACAAAAAAGTGAAGCTGCATTCCCCTGAATCACGTTTCTTGTGGGTGTTATCTGAAATGAGACTTTATTTCTCCCTTTGTAATCCTTGTGTCTGCACATAATTTTGTTAAGGGGAGGCGATGCAAAAAGTTAATGTACCTTATCTGATGGAATTCCTCAGTGTTGAGCTCAGTTTCCTGTTTTAGTTGTAACATCCTGAGTGCTTTCCTACTGAAGGGCTACTGATGTGTGCATGTTTGAAAACTTACTGTGACCCTCTGCTGAAAACACCACAAACTTTACCTGAACTTGTCCTCTCTCTACAGGTATAGGCAAGAATGTTGTCTGTGAGAAAGCAACAACTGCTGTCGATTCATTCAAGATGGTGGCTGCAGCCAGATACTACCCTCAGCTGCTCAGCATTATGGGTAATACCCTGCGCTTCCTCCCTGCTTTTGTTGCAATGCGCAAGCTGCTGGTGGAAGGATACGTTGGTGAAATCCAGGTGTGTGACGTCCGGGTCTACGGCCCGAGTCTCCTGGACCAGTCGTACGGCTGGACCTGTGAGGAGCTGATGGGTGGGGGTGGACTGCACATTGTCGGCTCTGCCATCATCGACCTCTTAAGTTACCTCACGGGCACACGAGCCCATCGTGTGCACGGTTTACTACGGACCTTTGTGCAACAAAAAAACCTAATCCGAGGCATCCGCCGCATCACAAGTGATGACTTCTGCTTCTTCCAGATGTTGATGGGTGTGAATGGCTCTGCTGGGGTTTGCTGCACCGTAACCCTGAACTTCAACATGCCAGGATCGTTCGTGCACGAGGTTATGGTAGTTGGATCCACTGGAAGGTTGGTTGTCAGGGGCACCCAACTGTATGGTCAGCGCAATGGAAGCAAAGAGGAAGAGTTGTTGCTAGGTGACAATGGATGGGCTGGGCCTGAAGTGAAAGAGATGCCCCTCCCTTACCTGCAGGGACTGAGCTCCATGGTAAAGGCACTGAGACAGTCTTTCCAGGCTCACGAGGAGCGCAGATCGTGGGAGTGGGGACCGGTTTGTTCTGCTCCGACTTTCGAGGACGGTCTGTACGTGCAGACGGTGGTGGAGGCGGTGAAACGCTCCAACAGCAGTGGAGAGTGGGTGTGTGTAGAGGTCATGAGTCAGGAGCCAGATCCAAACCAAAACCTCTGCGAGGCTCTTCAGAGAAACAAAAACTGAAATCATTTATACACAAAGTGCAAAACTACAAATGGGACAGAACAGGGCTTTGAATGTTTTTGTTTTTTTATCAGCTGCGTTGGCTGTTTACATTATAAATGACTACTTTTTACAGTTTTGAACAGTAACATTTTTATTTAAATGAACACAAATTCATGTGTGCTTTACTTACACCGTTAAAATGCATTTGTTTACTAAATTTACTACATTTGTAAACCACAGCTCCATTGTTTTGATTCTGACCAGAATCTATAAATTTATATTTAGTTTAGATGAGTCAGACACTCTGAAACTTTTTGGCCAAAACATGCTCAAAAAGATGAATTACTTTTAGTTTGAATGCATTTTTTCTGGCTTTGCTATCTAAATCACATGTTGCCAAGATGGAAAACCTTGGAAAAAATAGCTGGGTAGCTATTGACTCTAATAATTTTTTATGTGTATATAATTTTTGGCCACTGAGCTGCTTGCTGCTGCACAGCCAAACTTACTTTTAGGATACAATAAAGATAAGACATGAATTAAGCTTAAATGTAAATGTTTGAACATGTAGAACAGCAATAATGGAGCTGTGTGTTTACATTTGATTTAAAATTGTGTGATATTATGTGTTAGGTTACATAGCTGACAGGTTTGTAAGACTAGTAAGTTTTTTTTTCTTACGTTAGTTCGCCATAACATAGATATGATACCAGAGACTGAGTAAAATAAGCTATGCAGAAAATAGACTTATCTCATTTGTAGCATTGTCCCTGAAATGGCCAGTTTATTTATTTGTGATAGTTTGTTAGAAAAGAGGCTGTAAAGATTTGTTTTTGTTTTTTTTTTTTTGTTGTGTGCATCACTTACAGAGCAGCTGAGGTGGAAAAAACCCAAAATTTCTTCAAATACTTTCACATGATGCAAAAAATGTTTTCTTTAAATAAAACCGAATACAACTGAAACTATCCTTTACTAGAAGTCTAGAGAGATTGTACAACAGATGTTATGCTTGCTTACTAATAATGGGTTATTGATGGACAATTGTTAATAATGATGTTTTGTTCTTGTAAACATTCCAACTATTGTAATCTGCTCAACTATCAAGACTGAATAGACGGATGGATGGATGGATGGAGACTCCTAAAGTGAGCAGCTCCCGGTCAGACGTTTGAGGCTACAAATGTAAGTTTGGATGAAGCAGACCCATGTTCACCGTGGAGATTAGAGTTGGAAATGTGGAAATTTTATTTAAAAACTGTTTAAATATCTAGTTTCCATTCATGAACCGCTGGTCAGTTTTATTCAAAATCTAAATTAGACATGCCAGTTCAGAATAAGAGGTTGTTATCCACCACATGACATCAGTAATTCTGAAACTTCCCTAATGTTTTTGTTGAGATTCCATTGGATCTGAACAGTTTTAATTTCTAACAGTCACCCAATTGCTTATTGGCTTGTAGAACTAAATCATCTGGTCTTTAAGATGAGCGCAGTAAGTACAAGTTTCATTTGATCCATAAGAAATGTGCAAATGTAGAAATGCGGATCACACAACTACCTTGTTATCCAGCTGTGCTTTGTAAAAATATTTAACATTCACTGTATCTTTTAAATAATATTTTTGCAAGATCCGTTACTACTAAAATGCATTCCACCAGAGTTTTCATCGTCAGTAAATACTTTTTTCTCTGTTTGCACTGATGAGATGCCACCTGTTGAATGCTTGCACCAACCAGCTCGCTGCAATAGTGAATTTGTTAGAGGAAGACTTTCTATTTATTTAAATGTTGGACTAAAGAAAAATTTCCATTTTTGTTCTGTTTAGTGTTTGTCAATTTCTGTTTAAAGCTGTAATATTTATCTCTAGATTTAGTCGTGTTTTAACTGATGTGGCATTTCGAGCACTAAATTGTTGCTTTAAAGTTGATAAACTGTACCGTTTATCTGTGTGACAGATATCTGCTTAACAAATACAACTGTTTCTGGTGACTTTTGTCTGAAGTGTATTGTTCTGGTTCTTTATTTAAAAATGCATTTACAGCCAAATCTTTATCAAAAAGTACAAAAAAGGAGGGAGAAGGCAAAGGGTTACAACTAAAAAGGGGAGGGGATTCAGAAATAATGGCAATAAATCTGGATTGTTTTAGGAAATGATTGCACAATTGGCTAATTAAATAGAATATCACATTAGAGCAGGGGTGTCAAATATACGGTCCGTGGGCCGGATCCGGCCCGCAAACGAGTTAAATCCGGCCCACGAGATGGTTGTGTAAACTTTATTTTCATACTTTACAATGTAGAGTGAAAATAAACTTATCTGTGAGCAAGTTTTCTCTATAATGAGTATAAATAAAACAAAGCTGCACTCAAGGCTCACACAAGAACATGAATCGCATCCTGAAGTTGGCTGCCACTCAGGATGGGACTTCTGATATTGATGTGCTGGTGAAAGCTAAAAGATGTTAAGTAAAATGAGTCAAATATACTTTAAGTGCTGCATGAAACTGATCTAGCATGTGATCTGTAAGCTCTTTGAATCACTGAGGAATGTTTTTTATTTTTATTTATTTTTCAAATTTTCAAGTACACTTCAGGTGTTGTACTACACTGTCCTCAGGCTCCAGCTTTGTATTAAAACAAAGAAAACAATCTGAAGTTGTTTTTAATGTACCGGTCCAGCCCACTTGGGACTAGATTTTCCTCAATGTGGCCCCTGAGCTAAAATGAGTTTGACACCCCTGCATTAGAGTTTGCACCTTGTATTTGAGGGAATAAAGAGTATGTATGATGAGAGGCTGAAACAAAAACGAACAAAAGTTAAGTCTTTAACCCATGGGAACTCAGCAGCTGGAAATAAACGATGCTATGTTGTTGTGGCGGTGAACCGAACTATAAAATAATTGGTGCTAATTTGTTTAGTTACTGGTTTTCCCCATTCCCTCGTGGTTGAATCTGAGATATATAAACGTTATTAACTCATATTTAAAATAAGATAAAAATGCATAAAATATGATATATAAATATATTTTTGTCTAATTTATTATCCAATGAAAAAATAGGGGTTGTCTGTAAAAGTACACCTTTACTAAATCTCCAATCTCACACTAATTGTAAATGTGTCATTACCATAGGTCATTACGGAGTAGAAGGGAAAAAAACTGGCGCAATGCATTATGGGGCAGCAGAGTCTAAGCTAGGCTAAGTTAGCACAACAGCTAATATCTCAGACCGCTAGTTCGCCTTGCTTTGCTTGGAACTGGTTGTTTGGTATTTGGAGACTGGAAGGTAAAGATGGACAAATACCGGAAAAGAAGCGTGGTGTGGAGCTATTTTAAAGATATAGACGCCAGCTCGGTGCAGTGTCTGCTCTGTTCTCGTCATTTACGCAGGAAGGATCATGGCTCCACTACCCCGATGCTCAGACATCTGCGCCTCAAACATTCCGCTCAAATCACTCTAGATGCTGAAGGTGGAGGAGGCCAAATGAGTCAGAGCGTGGAGTTAGACAGCGATCAGACCTTCTCTGGTAAGCACCAACAGCAACACACTCCCCCGTCTCTGTTTAAAGTAGAAATGCATGCATGTATTTTACAATAAATCACACTAAGTATCTGACGCCACTCACATTTTCAAGTAAACTCATCTTTATTCCGGACTCTTGGTCATATTCACAGAAGTAGAAAAACATTGTACAATTTAAGATAAAATGAAATGGACACTTTAAAGCACAATTAAGAGACAAAATAATTATGAAAACAAAAACAAGAGACATTAATAACAGTAGTGCAAAGATCAAGTTTATTGTAACTCCCTAATCTAAAAAAAGAAAAAGACTGGTATACCAGTGTCTCCACATCTTTGACTGGTAACATATTGCACTGACACTGTCATTTAAAATTATGATGTGCTAGGAAAACGGCTCTTTGGATGGAAGAGGTACATGTGTTACTACCCTGCACTCAGATCCACAAATATTTGGAAGGAAAATGCCCCCTAGACTCACTAGTGTCAGCCTGCTGAAGTGTAGTTCAACATTCACCCATAGAGGCTGATAGTAATGTATAACAAAAAATCTGATGGGAAAACAGAACAAAATGTATTTGTTTATCTACTTGTGGCAAGTTTGACTTGTGTCAACATTATACTGACGTCAGCAGGGAGAAGTTAAAATCAGTAGATAACGCTGGATTGACTATGAGGTTAAAAATTTGTCTGGTGCACTTCAGGGAAGACAGAAATCATACAGTTCCATCATTCTTAACTATGAGAAGTGTTATGTAAGCAAGATAAAACTTAAAGGGCATTAACATCTGGGTCAGCACGGCCCAGTCGTGGTCAGGTATATCGTGTTGACATCTGGGTAATCTCTGCATTTTCCATGCTCAGCTGACCGTTATTGTTTTGGACCTGCTCTCTGGCGGTCTACTTCGTGTAAAGTCGACCCAACACACCCTGCCAACTGATTGGCTGGCTGAAGTTCACTCCTACCTATAAAAGGATCCGCTGATTGTTGGGTAGAATAGCCAGCAGTGGCTTCTCGCATGTGTGATTCATTATCAGTCTGGAATCAGTGGAGTAAACATCTCCTCTGGCTGCAGCTTGGACCTCCCGCTCCAACCATGGCAGTGCAAAGGCAGACTGCTGTGAGGAGCATACTGCAGTTTTTGTATGGAGTATGGAACCTGCCATGGATTAACAGCCGAAGGAGACCCACGTCTTAAGTTAACATTTTACTAGAAGCCCACAAGAATCGCATTGTGGATAAGCATGCCTGTCACTCAGACGTGTGTTTTGCGTCATGGAGAAGAACGTCGCCGTCAGTAAAGTGTTTATTGAAATAATAGGCATTAGGAAAAACATTGGCCAAATTGAAGGAATAATTAACCCATAAAAATGACTGAATTGCGCTGAATTATTTTAATTGAGGCAATCCAAACAATGATTTGTGAATTAAACACTAACTCTTGTTAAACTTGGTGAATCACCTTATGGATTTTAAATTAAGATGCCTAAAAATTAGGGCTGCGCAATGTTACGGGAAGCCTGCGATGCACGATAACAGTGGTTATTGCTTACACAGTATGCCTGTATGACTGTATGCCTTGCAATAAAAAACTAAAACTTCACTAAAGAACAAAAAATCAAAAACAAAGAATTTTTAAAATATAAAAAATGGGAAAAGCAAAATCAGCAAAAAGAGCAGAACAAAGCTAACTCAGGTAAGTAAGTAAGTAAGTAAAAGTTTATTTATATAGCGCCTTTCACAGATATAAATCACAAAGCGTTGTACAACATGATAAAGATCAGGGCAAATACCTCTAACCAATAAAAACATCAGAAAAACAATAGCAGTGATAAAATAGAAAATAAAATCATGAGTAATAACAAAGTGAAGGTGTGAACCCAAACAAAGCCATCTTTTTGAAACATTTAGGGAGGGAACGCCTGGATGAAAAGGTGAGTTTTTAGATGATTTTAAAAGACCTCTACAGTGTTAGAGAGATGGAGATTTGAAGGCAGACTGTTCCAAAGTCTGAAAGGACTTGTCCCCTTTGGTTTTCAGTCTGGTTCGAGGAATAGCCAGGAGGTTTTCAGATGTGGATCTAAGGTTCTGTGAGGTGGTGTGTGGGGATAAAAGCTCAGATAGGTAGCTTGGAGCCTGGTTGTTAAGACCTCTATAGGTCAGGACTAAAACTGTAAACTGTATTCTATATTCTACCGGGAGCCAGTGGAGGGACTGTAAAACTGGGGTGATGTGAGCTCGTCTGCTGGATTTGGTTAGGAGTCTGGCTGCTGCATTTTGGATGGCTTAAAGGCGTGAGAGGGAGGTTTTGCTGAGACCAGTAAAAAGAGTGTTACAATATAAGCGTGATGACACAAAGGCATGGATGATTTTTTCCAGATCTGCAGTAGAAACCAGTTTACAGACTTTTGAAATGTTTCTCAGTTGAAAGAAACAAGAGCGGGAGATGGGTTTGACGTGTGAGTCTAAACTTAAAGCTGGATCAAAAATAACTCCCAGGTTTCTAATGTTGGCCTTGACTGATGGGCAAAAAGGCAATTTCTTGCTCGATTTTTGGCTGAAGTTCCGGGGGTGCAGCGATCAGGGTCTCTGTCTTGTTATCATTTAGGACAAGAAAGTTGCTAGGCAGCCAGTTACTGATCTGGGTCAGGCAGAGTACAAGTGTGGCCAGACTGTCCAACTGGTGTGGCATAAAGGACATATAGAGCTGAATATCATCAGCGTAGATGTGGTAGGAGATGTCTGGGAAAGACTGAATGATGCCAGCTAGGGGAAGAATATAGAATGCGAATAGTAGAGGCCCTAGAACTGAACCTTGTGGGACCCCGCGTGTTAGAGAGGCAGTATCTGAAGAGAAGGTTTCTGACTTCACTGTGAATGTTCTGTTGGTGAGATAAGAAGAGAGCCAGTCTAGAGCAGAACCTGAAATCCCAGCCAGGGCCTTTAACCTGTTTAGTAGAACGTTGTGGTCTACAGTGTCAAAAGCTGCACTGAGGTCAAGCAGGACCATGACAGAGCATTTCCCTGCATCAGCAGCCATCAGGAGGTCATTATGCACCCTTACTAGAGCAGTCTCAGTTGAGTGCTGCTTCAGAAAGCCAGACTGGAAGGGGTCAGAGATCTTTGACCTAGAAAACCAGGATCTGAGTTGGTTTTCAACAACCTTCTCAAGTACTTTGCTGATGAAAGGTAGCTTAGAAATGGGCCTAAAGTTACTGGTGGAGCTGGCGTCAAGGTTGGGTTTCTTTAAGAGAGGAGTCACTACTGCATTTTTAAAGTAAGATGGAACACAGCCTTGGCTCAGTGAGCTGTTGATTATAGTCAACAGAGATGGACTGATGGAGGCAAGGGACCCGACTAAAACAGAGGGAGTTAAGATATCTGATGAGCATGATGAGAGTTTCATCTGACTGATTATTGAGGTTAAGTCATTTAGTGTAATTGGGGAGAAGGAGGTGAAAGACTCGGAGCACTGGGGGGGCCTCCCTTCCTGAGGGGGGGAGGGCTGGTGGAATGCTGGATCTCAGATTCAACACCTTGTTTGCAAAAAAGTGGAGAAATCTGTTACAGTCATCAGCTGAAGATAGCTGAGCCTGCTGTGGAGGAGAAGACACGATGCTGGAGATGGTATCAAACAAAACCTTAGAATTATTCTTATTTTGGCATATGAGGTTGCTGAAAAAAGAAGACCTGGCATTTTCTACAGCTTCGTTGTATGTCTCTAGAAGTTCTTTAAAATATTTGCGATGAACAACCAGACCTGTCCTCTTCCACAGTCGTTCCGCTTTTCTATAGGTGTTTGCTAGCCACCTAGGAGGCGGACATCTCACCTATAGGAACCCACCCGATTGGCCAAATGGGTGAAGGTTCTATTTGATTTGTCAAAAACGTCATGCGTCTGTTTGGTTGACAAAATGCATCATGTGTAGCAAACATTTGAGCTCACTGTTCATTGCATTTTTTTTTCTGTTCTTTGTGATGTGCGTATTGCACATGCTGATATAATGATGACGATGCATTTACGATGTATTGTACAGCCCTGCTAAAACCAGTTTATAAGTCATCAGAATAAAATGTTGTGCGTGGTAGTTGTGCCATATGCCATAGTTGTGCCATGGTGGCGTAATCATCATCATCATCACCTTTATTTATAAAAGCACTTTACAGACATATATTATGTCACCAATGTGCTGAACAAGACTAAACTAAAAAAGATAAAAACAAAGAATATATAGGAAACCAAATAATAATAAATAAATAAGAACAAAATGTATTTGTTTATCTACTTGTGGCCAGGTTGACTTTTTATTTTCTTTAGACCATTTATTTTTATTAAATCTTAAAGGATTCAGTCTGCCTTAAAATGACTCCTGGAGTGTTTTTGGCCAGCCTGAAGCAGGCTTATGGGAGTGATAACTACTAAAAACAGACATTTAATGGTTATTTAAAAAAATAACTGTTTGTGTTCAGAGAGCAGACGTTTAAGTGATGGTGGCGTAATTTTCAGGCATGTGCGACATACATTACGGAGGTGATAAACTGAGTTTCAGACTTAAGTTTTTGGTGAATTTCGAAGGTGCGTTGCCGCTAGCAAGCGTGGGTTTTAATGCATCGCTGCTGCGTGGTCGTGGGTTTTAGTCAGCTATATGTAGAATAGCATTAAAAGTTCAGACGTTCTTATGGTGACGTCTTCTCCTGGGTCTGGTTAGGCTTATGGCAGATTCCACTCGCCATACTCTCAGTGAGACAGCAGGAAGCTGTGTGCTTCATATCAGAGTCTCCAAAAGCAACACGGCTAACGGCCGCCTTTGTTTACTAACTTAAAGAGGAAAACACGGACTTCTCCGCGGGTCTTTTGCCCTGCCCACATGCTCAGAGACATCTGCGTTCCTGAGAAGGCTGTGTGTGAACCACAAACATCATGGCGTGAACAAACCCTGGCCGCTAAGTGAAAAGCACTGTACGGTTCTAATAGTTCAGTTGTTTTTCATAATCCTTTGTCAGTACTTTGCTGTGTCTGCATTTGCAGCCATACATCTAACTTCTTCCTCTTTCTCTTCAGTGGTAGTGGAATTGGAGAAAGAGGACTCTCACATTAACCCCCAAACTCTGAATGACTCTCAAGTCCACCCCGATGTTGGCAGCAACCTGGAAGCGGCAGAAGAAGCTCCAGCTGAAAAGTTAGCCTACAGAGAAGCGAGTGTCAACTCTTCGTTGGGGAATACACGCAGGCGCAGTTTGATCTGGAGGCTTTTTGAACACTTGGAGAGTTTGAAAGCTGCTCGTTGCCGCATATGCATGAAGAAGTTGCATGAAAGTGGCGGCATCAGCAACCTTCGTCGACACCTGATGAAAAGACACCCGAAGGTGCTCTCGGAGCTGCTAGCGAGCAGCCATCACCGTCCTGCTGCACTTTTAAAACAGCCGGACCTCTCTGAGACTCGTGGGGCTTTTTTGGAAACAGAGGATGAAGAGGAACCAGGTAAGCTCAGAACAGTTCCTCTCTGCCCAGGACCGGGTCATGGGCAGAGGTTTCACTGATGGCTGAAATGTGAGTTCTCTTTTCCTATTTAGTGAAAGTGATTCTGGTGGATGGTAATTCTGAGATTATTGGGGAACTGACTCAAGCTGAAAATCCAACCATAAACGGCCCCCTGCAAACTTTGGGAGAAGATTCAGCTCAGAAGACAACAAACACAGAGGTGAGTGAATTCCACCCTAAGAGATGCCACGCCTAAATTTGTTCTCTGAGCTTTTATCCTTCTTGTAACTTTAAACTCTTTTCAGGCTTCAGAGGCAACTTGTGTGACGGGTGAAATCTCATGGGACAATAATCTGAAATGGGTAACAGGTGAGATTTTGTTTGACATTTGATGTTTTGTCCTCAAAATCTAAACAAAGACGGTATAAAGTCAGAACAGTTTCTACTTCACGTTCTGTGAAATGTTTCAAAGTAAAATAACACATTTTTATTGACATTGGCTCTCTGTGCTTCAGCACCAATCTGAGGCACAGAATGAATTCAGCTTTAATAAAAACAAGAGAACATAAGTTGTTGACGAGGTAATTAACCTGAGTTTAAATCCTTTTGGTCAGTCAGAAGTTTGGAGATCACCAGTGTCCACCTACAACAGCCTTCCTGAAGTCAAAGATAAAAACAAAATGTTTTCAGAACTTTTAATTTCTGACAACTGGTTAAAAATTGTTTTAACTTCACCACACATCAAAGGGTGATAGACCAATAGATATTTGATGTATCAGAAAACTTCTCAGTTTTTACCAAAGGGTTATTTATTATGAGTCCAATATGTGTCTCTTCCTGTTTGTTTATCTCAAGTTTTATGAAGATACAACAATGGTGAGATTTTTGTCTTAAAGGGACTTTTCAGACTTTTGAATTTTTATGCTCGCGATTGCCCCCTCAGGTCAAAAGCGTAACTGCAGCTTCAATAGCAGGCTCGTGCACGAGGCGCGCATGCTGTACGTGCACACTCCTTAACGAAAATAACAGCTGAGACAGAGCACAGTGCTCTGAGAGTGTCCCTTGTGTGTGTGTGTGTGGCCCGGAGGACAGAAGAACACAGCAAATTAATAAAATAATGTGCCTCTGTCTCTGCAGCTGCACTCTCTCGTCGGCCGAGCGTGCAGTGTGTGTGTGTGTGTGTGTGTGTGTGTGTGTGTGTGTGTGTGTGTGTGTGTGTGTGTGTGTGTGTGTGTGTGTGTGTGTGTGTGTGTGTGTGTGTGTGTGTGTGTGTGTGTGTGTGTGTGTGTGTGTGTGTGTGTGGCCCGGAGGACAGAGGACAGGAGAGTGAGCAGCTAATTAATTAAATAATTTGGTTCTGTACCTTTCTCTTCAGCACAGCCAACAAAGGTTTATGATGGGTCAGTCCTCCTGCATGCTCAGATCATTCCCTTCCCTTGCTTGAAAAATTGTTCCAAAATGAAAGTTGAACCCACATCTTTTTTATCTGTGAATTCAATGCCTTTCGGCGAGTCTCTAATAAAAATTTGAGCATCTTGTTATTGTAAAAAAATATACCATTAATGTAAAAAAGAAACTAAATGAACTACAGGTGCTGGCCAGTAAATTAGAATATCATCAAAAGGTTGAAAATATTTCAGTAATTCCATTCAAAACGTGAAACTTGTACATTATATTCATGCAATGCACACAGACCAATGTATTTCCAATGTTCATTACATTTAAATTTGATATTCATAAGTGACAACTAATGAAAACTCCAAATTTGGTATCTCAAAAAATTAGAATATTCTGAAAAGGCTGAATATAGAAGACACCTGCTGCCACTCTAATCAGCTGATTTACTCAAAACACCTGCAAAGGCCTTTAAAAGGTCCCTCAGTCTTGTTTTGAAGGCACCACAATCATGGGGAAGACTTCTGACTTAACAGCTGTCCAAAAGACAATCATTGACACCTTGCACAAGGAGGGCAAGACACAAAAGGTGATTGCTAAAGAAGCTGGCTGATCGCAGAGCTCTGTGTCCAAGCACATTAACAGACAGGCGAAGGGACGGAAAAAATGTGGTAGAAAAAAGTGTACAAGCTCTAGGGATAACCGCACCCTGCAGAGAATTGTGACGACAAACCCATTCAAAAATGTGGGGGAGATCCACAAAGAGTGGACTGCAGCTGGAGTCAGCGCTTCAAGAACCACCACGAGGAGACTCATGAAAGACATGGGATTCAGGTGTCGCATTCCGTGTGTCAAGCCACTCTTGAACAAGAAACAGCGCAAGAAGCGTCTCGCCTGGGCCAAGGACAAAAAGGACTGGACTGATGCTGAGTGGTCCAAAGTTATGTTTTCTGATGAAAGCAAGTTCTGCATTTCCTTTGGAAATCAAGGACCCAGAGTCTGGAGGAAGAGCGGAGAAGCACAGAATCCACGTTGCATGAGGTCCAGTGTAAAGTTTCCACCGTCAGTGATGGTGTGGGGTGCCATGTCATCTGCCGGTGTTGGCCCACTCTGTTTCCTGAGGTCCAGGGTCAATGCAGCCGTCTACCAGGAAGTTTTAGAGCACTTCATGCTTCCTGCTGCTGACCAACTTTATGGGGATGCAGACTTCACCTTTCAACAGGACTTGGCACCTGCACACAGTGCCAAAACCACCAGCACCTGGTTCAAGGACCATGGTATCCCTGTCCTTGATTGGCCAGCAAACTCGCCTGACCTTAACCCCATAGAAAATCTATGGGGTATTGTGAAGCGGAGGATGCAATACGCTAGACCCAACAATGCAGAGGAGCTGAAGACGACTATCAGAGCAACCTGGGCTCTCATAACACCTGAGCAGTGCCACAGACTGATCGAGTCCATGCCACGCCGCATTACTGCAGTTATTGAGGCAAAAGGAGCCCCAACTAAGTATTGAGTGCTATACATGCACATTCTTTTCATGTTCATTCTTTTCAGTTGGCCAACATTAGAGAAACAAACATTTTTTCATTGGCCTTTAGAATATTCTAATTTTCTGAGATACCAGATTTGATGTTTTCATTGGTTGTCACCTATAAATATCAAAATTAAACGTAATAAACATCGGAAATACATTGGTCTGTGTGCATTGCATGAATATAATGTACAAGTTTCACGTTTTGAATGGAATTACTGAAATATTTTCAACCTTTTGATGATATTCTAATTTACTGGCCAGCACCTGTATGTTCACACCCAGAATCGAATCCAGGTCCTCAGCATGAGAGTCAGGCATCTTACTAGGTGAGCTAAAGCACCAGTAACATTTGATGCATCTGTAACTTTTATATCCTTGGTGACAGCTGAAACAACGTCAATCCAAAGAACGGTTCAGAGCGAAAATGGCTATTTTGTTGCTAATTTGCAGGAAATATCTAGAAGAAAGTAGCTATGGGTCCTCAGAAATGTAGCTAGGTTCATCACTAGGCGTTTGGAACAGCGACAAAGTCGCTGAGTTGGCACTGCCTCTCTCTGCTGCTAAAGCTATGGATAGCAAATGCTACGGGCTACGCCTGAGCGTGAACGTGCATGAAGCAGCCTGCTCGACCCGAGCATCTCTCTTTTTCTGTGATTTTACAGAAAAACAGGCAATCACAGTAAAAATGCCAGGGCTCATCCTACAGGACCAGGGCATTGCAGGAGAATGTATGAAGAAGAAATTTATTATTTCTATACATGTTTTGGCTGTCAAACTTCCATAATGTCCCTTTAAATGTGTGGTTCCCAGAAGAAAAAAAAACATTTTAATGGTTATTTCTGATCATAATGGGTCACTAAGTTTTTCATGCAGGCCTGAACATGAAAATAGTCTTCTATACGTATCTCCTGCATTAGCTTCTGATGGAAAATAGACAAGTGAAATGAATTGAAAAGCCTGACAGATTTCTCTCACACTGTCACTGAGCGTTTGTGGACTCGCTCATCTTGACTTGAAACGGGAAGGCTGTTGTTGGTTTAGCGTCCAGGAAACAGCAGACAACGGCCCGACTAGTTAAAGCTAGGGATGGATACCCACTGAATTCCGTGTTGCCTACCGAGGACCGATTCACGTGAAATGAAATGGTGCCCTGTTTCGGTACCCGTCCTCCATTCACGAGAACTTGCGAGAAAGTGATCAGCCAAGATCGACAGCAGTGCATGCACAAGAGCACTATGTCATCAGTCACTGCTGGCGAGCTTTAAACAGAGCAGTCAGCATGTAAATAAACAGTTTGAGCTTGATATTTTAACTTCTTTGACTTCCAAGTAGGAAAAATCAACTGTTTGTAAAAGAACGGCAAAAGGAATGAAGATTCACAGTAAATTGAGTTCACACAGCAAAGATGTTTGCTTCAGTTTAATTAGCTGTTTATAATAGTACAAGGACCCACCCATCAGTATTCCAGAGGGTATAGAAGAGGAATAGAGCTGGGTTTTAATTTTTGCATCATCTAGAAACCGAAGTATTTTTTACAACACTACAATGATAAAATACAAACAGTTTATCATATTTATCAAATATAGTTATGTAGTGATAAAATATATATATATATATTGGATTTAAAACGATTTAATTAATTATTAAACACACAAAAGTATCAAATTAATACTGTTAAGTACAAGTATCGATTCCTAGTACAATGGTACTATTCCTAAACCTAACCCATCCCTAGTAAAAGCTAACCCTTAGCATTAGCGACATCACCACACAGGAAAACTCCTCCAGGCTTGTGTTATTTGTGGAGGTAAAGCATCCACGTTGCAAGTCGGTAGTAGAGTCATGTTGCTGTTGTCCAATCTGAGGCAAGATATCCAAATATCAGGAAATAAGACTCCCAAGTTCTGCTACCACTCAATTCTGAGCTTTTATTTTGCCCTGAGTATGGCTTGCAAGGCATTCATTCCTAACAGAGACTGCTGATTAAACGGGTTTTTCACACCTACAAGAATAAGTTTGAACAATTAAGAGACTTTTGCAAATTGGGTAAATTTCATTGTGTTTTGAAGATAATGTAATCTCCATGTTCTTTGCTTTTTATGGACAAAAACCGCCTCTGTCTCACCTGCTTTGAAAGGACTTTTATGTACTTTGAAAGTTCTTGATGTCTTTCAGCAACACAGTACAATTACTAAAATGTAACAAAAATGTCTTTTAGCTCTTCTAATGACTTTTATGTTTTTTGGGAAGTTGCGACGCAGGATGGCAGCTCTGACGTTACGACCCCATCAAACGAAGCTGACTGCAGCCCTGCTACAAATGGCCAGCTGGACACTGTGCAAGAAGGTTCAACGCAACAAACGACAAATTCAGATAAAAGTACGGACCAAGCAGTGAAATCCACGCGCAGGCGGAGTTTGATTTGGAAGCACTTTGTAAGACTGGAGAGTTTGGAGGCAGCTCAGTGTCGCATTTGTTTGAAGAAGCTTCAGTGTTTTGAGAGCGGCTGCACTAGCAACCTGCACCGCCACATGCTAAAGAGGCATCCAAAGGTATGCATTAAGACCAAATCCAGCCAGCAGCTGCACCCCTCGCAGCACTCGGATGCTAACAACGAAACAAGTGTGGACTCATCAGTGACGCGGCATGAACAGACGTCAGGTAAGCTTTTACAGTTTTTACAGACGTTAGGACCCATTTCTCAATACCTAGGTCACATTTGCAAAACTCTACATACAGTGTGCACAACAGAAGCCTATGTGGTTCAAACTGAGGATCAATTATCATTGCTTTGGCACAAAATTCATTGAGTGACTACATCTCTCAAACGTCATGAAGTCCGTTCTAACTCAGACACAACAACTGCCAAAACTCATTGTACTAACAGGACATTTTGCACTTGCTTGCATACTGTTCACAAAACTGTAAAACTTATGTTCAAAACAATAACATAGTGCAAAACTGAATATGACAGCGAAATCCAACAGCAATATGTTATTGAAACATAAATGCAGTTTAACCAGCCACAGCTGACTCTTAATTGTAGATGAACAGCTGCACAGGTGTTACACTTTCAATGCCATTATAAAAGTAGTCAACGCCAACATATATAATTGTATGGGACAATGTGGCTTTTCACCACTCCCATGCAGTCAGAGTGGTTTGTGGCCCATCCCAGAATGGAGTCACTTTTCCTCCCACCTTACTCTCCATTCCTCAACCCCATAGAGGAATTCTTTGCCTCATGGCGATGGAAGGTGTACGACCATCATCCACATGATCAAATGTCCCTTCTGGATGCAATGTACGCTGGATGCCTGGACATATCAGCAGTAGATTGCCAGGGATGGATCAGGCATGCCAGAAGATTCTTTCCTAGGTGTATTGCCCTAGATGACATAAGATGTGATGTGGATGAGAACCTGTGGCCAAATGGAGAAGACCGAGTAGATTAGCATATTGAATCTTTATCAGTGGATGTTGTGTTGACAAAGTCTTGTGTTTTGGAAGTACTTAATGCAAAAACAAATACCATTAAAAATAAATGAACAGCATGAAATATTGACTAATTCTGCATCATGTCTGATTCATTCCAGGAACATCTATTGGAAGTATGAACAGAGATGTGTCCTTGTTTTACACAAGAAAATGTAATGCTACATGTTGTTAGTGTTTTTAGGTCTTTGTTTTGTGGGTGACAAAGTGTGTTTGTCGGCTGTCAACGTTTGCTAGTGTTCTGGAGGAATGAGTTTATTTGAGACCTGAATGAAGTGTTTTGGTGGTTGTAGTGCATTTTGGATGTGAAATGAACTGTTTTGCCAAGCTGAAACTCCGTTAGGAGAACTGTGTGACGTGTCTAGCAAAAGTGACATTAGTATTGAGAAATGGGTCCTAACGTCGATAAAAAACAACTAAATATTTCTACACCATCAAACCCGACATTAAATCCATAATTCATGCTAGAATTGTCTCCAACCGTTCCCTGTTCTGTGTCCTCCCGTCCCTGCAGATGGATTAAAAGTTGCAGTGGAATCTGAAGTGGGAAGCAGAGTTTTTATGCGAGAGAGGGAGTTGATTGAAGCTCTAAGGAGAACGCAGAGGGAGGAGTCTCGGACTCTGGAGCATCAGAGGGAGCTGCTGGAGAAGCTGCGATCAGCCAGCGCTCGAGAGGCGTCGGCAGATCGGGAGAAGATCGAGGCGCTGCGGAAAGCACAGCAGGAGGAAGCCGATGAGTTAAGAAGACAGCGTGAAGAGCTGGAGAAGGAAAAGGCAGAGCTTCAGAGGAAGTGGGATGAGCTTAACCAGGAAAGAGTGGAGCTTTTGTTGCTCTCCAGAGACAAGAAAGACTCCTGAAGAATGTGTTTTATGAAGTCATTCATACTTATTTTCAATTTTTCTGAAAGTATTTTGAAAATAATTAGAATTTTACAGAAAATCTGTCCACATTTGATTAATTTTGTTAGATACTACGTGGTTCTGTCATCGGATGTGAAAAATGAGCTCTATCGGGTTCTTTTTGCCAAAATAAAATTCTATCCTGTCAGAAGCTTTACTACCAGTTTGGCCATTTTTGTTGAAATAAGCTTTTTTTTTCTTGCAAAAATGTGTTTTATTGAAGGGTAGCTTGTTCTCGTTACCCTGAAGATAAACAAGGTCTAAAATGTAAGTCAGTAAGATTTGTCCACTGAGTAGATAACCTAGAGAAGACGGAGGACAGAGACTTCTCTGGTTAGGTCTTCTAATCCTGTTTACTGAAATATTGTTTTTGTAAAGGCTACTATTATTTCAGAGGTGAGTTGAGTGTTACAAACACTAATATGAGTATTGGTGGGTGAATAAAACCAAAAGGAAGTGGCAATGATCAGCAATAAGAACATCAAGACAATTTTCTTCCTCAGGAAAATTCCCTTTTAATGTGTTTCCAATAAAAATGAGTTTCTCTGTGGATTTAACTTCTCGCTGAGTTCTGATCACATCTTTTCTTGTATTTTGAGGGGTTTTATTCATGCCAACAGCGAGGCCAAGGTGCTTTTGTGTTTTGTTCTTGATTTTCTGAGTTGTATGTTTTCAAATAAACTCGTTGCTGTAATGAGTCAAACTTCATATGCTCTCAAGATCGTTGCATTAAAATTAGATTCATTTTGCATACATGAAAACGTTGTGCAGCCACTTCAACTTTTTGTATATATTTTTATTGGGTTTAACATTTATATCAGATTAAATAATATAAAAATAATATAAATTTATACTTTGAGTGAACGATTCATTAAAGAACATTGGTCTCCTCGGCTTCTGACCAAATAGTCAAAGTACACCCACATCACCCCGCTTCTCCTCCAGCTCCACTGGCTGCCAGTCATCTTCAGGGTTCATTTCAAGATCCTGGTTCTGGTCTATAGGGCCTTACATGGACAAGCACCATCTTACATTGGTGATCTTCTTAGTCCCTACACCCCCAGCAGGTCCCTGAGGTCCAGTGATCAAAGCCTATTGGTTGTGCAGTGCACCAGGCTAAAGACCAAAGGTGACAGATCATTTGCTGCTGTGGCCCCCAAACTCTGGAACTCTCTCCCCCTGAGCCTGAGATCAGTGGACTCCTTTAAGAAGCAGCTGAAAACTCACTTGTTCAAGCTGGCTTTTGTATGACCTTCATCTCTAGCTGTCCCGGGATCCACTGATTTCCCTCTTTCTCTTTCCTTACATTTTTTTAATCCCAATTTATTTTCTATTTTAACCTTATTTTTAATCTTTTTTATATTTAATTTTTTTTTGTTCTGTCAAGCACGTCATGATTTTTATAAAAGATAATTTTCTTTCTTTTTCTTTCTCTGGGGTGGCCAGCAGTTTTCTAGAGGGGGCCCTGGCCACCCCTTGGGGCGACACTGCTAAACGACCTGCTTCTCTTTTAAATTCAATTAAATTCAAGTTTATTTATATAGCGCCAAATCACGACAAGAGTCTGAAGGCACTAGTTTACCCGTTTATAATTAAACGGGTAAACTAGTAGTAGCACATTCAATGTCAAAGAAAGTAAAATGTCAAAGAAAGTAAAATGTTATCAGGAGAGGGAAAATGTTTAAGTGGTTAGCAGTAGTGTTCAAGACGATGGCCCCCTCCATGAGGCTACCACAGCTCAGCAGAACATCATTGTAGCTTCTTCTGGGGAGAAAAACACTTAGAGAAAAAAATAAAGTTAACAGTTAAAATAGCCGGAAATAATACAGTTAAAGAGCAAATTGTAAACTGATTAAATACTGATGCTGAACTGGACCTGAACCTCTCTAACTAATGTCTCTTCGGGGTCTTTTAAATTTAAACCACTCAGTTCTTTTTTAGATAATGAAATGCATAGTTTTATAAATTAAGTGATGTGTATATATTTATATTATTTTGTATTATATTATATTATATTATATTATATTATATTATATTATATTATATTATATTATATGAAAACTGCATTTGCAAGACTTGTGAATATGACTCGTCAGTGCGCATGCGTTGTTTTATAGAGATTTCTCCCTCAGTACGTTTTTTCAGGTGATTATTTGCCATTGCGACTAGCTAACTTATCTGACGATAAACACCTTCTAGCTAAAACCAAATTTTAACAACTGATTTGAAAAGTGAACAACTTGGTGTTGTATCTCGACTCGAATGCCTTCTAATCATTGTACCTGCCAGACTAAATCCAGGGATGATTAGCATGATGATGACGTTAGCTTCTGCTTAGTCTACGTGTGGCGGAAGATGGCTGACAGCGATCCCTTGGCAGCTAAAAGATGCGACTCTGGCTCCTCATCCTCCGTGAGCATGGAGACCATCTCTACGCTGACGGAGCTGGAGGACCTGGAGAAAGTTTACCAGCAGCTCTGCGCCGAGGAGGTTAGTGTCGGGGTGCGCTATCTGCGCTTTGTTTGCGGTGTTTACGTCATCAATGTAAACTTCCGTGACTGGAGATGGAGCTCAGAAATCAGAAAACAACGTTTATTTTATTTAGTTGCTGATTTTATAAGCTTAAAACTGAGAAGTTGCAAAGATAGATTACAAGCTAGGCTAACCGTTCTTCATTTTAGGCTGTGGTTTGTCAGGGTGAAAAACTTGGTTAGTTGCTGGTTTAGCTCATGTCTCTCCATTTGAACTGTTTTTAATACTAGACACAACCATAGACATAGAGATGGACACAACTAAAGATTATGTCTAAATTATTTTTGAGAGGCGGAATTTTTCTCTTTCTTTCATAACGTTTCAAAATGTGTAAATTAGGGATGCACAATACTGGTATCGGCACCGATATCAATACCAGTATCGGTATCTGTAAAAGTTAACTGATACCAGGAACCGATACCAATGCAGTTGCTTGAAAATGGCTTCACTGTAACTTGTCATTTCTGTTTACCTAATATTTTAGTTTTGTGATGATTTCTATTCCTATATTTTACTTTTTTATCTACCGCACAGTCTTTTGCTGTTGAAAGCAGAGAAGAAAATAAAATCTGTATTCCAAATCATTGCGTTTTTTTATTGTGGTAGAAGTATCGGTATTGTATCGGTTTGGAAAAAAAGTGGTATCGTTGCATCCTTAGTGTAAATTCCAAATAAACGATCCAGATTTATATAATTTATACCAATTATACCTCTGGAATCTTAATTTACTTGAATCTTAGTAAATAAATAAATGACTGTGATGAGAAAAAACTTAAGAAATCACATTAATGATCCAAATCCAGATCCTTCTCACACAGATACTTTTGTGTTTTTACAAAAAAAAGTTGTAGCATTAGTTTTCAGTGGGGATCCTCAAGCAACTTCCTATTCTTACACTTCCTCAAGTTTTCCAAAGAGCTTGAAAACGAGTTTGCTAATGTAAAATCTCGATACAAATATTGTAATTTTTTTATGATTGTTACAGAGAGAAGTGGAAGTTGAGCTGGACCGGCTGGTGGGACAGGAGGGCTCCATTCATACGAAGATGCTGGCCTTGCAGAGGATGGGGTACAGACCATTATGGTCTAAAAAAACTATCTTCTTCATTAATCTGTGATGTGCAAACTGCTTTTTAATTTTCTTTTGCTCTGCAGCCCAAATCTACAGCTGATTGGAGGAGACGCCAGTCAGCTCTCAGGCATGATCACTTTCACATGCAGCCTGGCTGAAAATGTCAGCCAGAAAGTCAGACAGCTGGACCTGGCAAAAGTAATTCCACAGTGGAATATTTAATTGTATCTTATGTGTGTGCAACATTTTAGCTGTTTTATTGCTAAGATTTTCTGTTAAAAGCTTTAATTTAGTTTTTTATTTGCAGACACGACTGTATAATGTCATCCAACGTGCTGATGACATCCTCGACCTGAAGTTCTGCACTGACGGCGTACAAACGGCTCTACGTAATGAAGACTACGAACAGGCTGCTGCACACATCCATCGATACTTGTCCCTCGACCAGTCGGTTATCGAACTGAGCAGGCAGGGAGAAGAAAGTACGACGCCTCCAGATCTATTCCGCTTCTGCAGGGGGAAATGCTGTAGTTTCCTTTTTTGCACAGAAGCAAACTTAAATTATTCCTGGTGGTTAAGCTAACCACTTATTTATGCTCAATTTCAGTTTTTTGTGGGGTTGTCAGTACATTTTACTTGTACTGAAAGTAAACAGGCCAGCCACAACATTAAAACCAATCAAAAACAGCTCTGATCTTCTGTATGCAATTCATGTAACAGCCACACAAACACAAAGCTCGTTTTGCTTTCAACCAAATTGGTGCATTAAAATCAGATTCACTTCACCTGTCGCTGGTTTTAATGTTGTTATATTTATTTGAGCTTGCATAAGTTTTTGCCAGTATTTAACTCCCCGTGAATCTTGTCTGCACAGGCAGCGCCGTGGACGCCAGTCTGGTTTTGCTGCAGGAGGCGGAACAGAAGCTGAAGGTTATCGTTGCAGAGAAGCTCGATGAGGCTGTCGCAGCAGTTGACCTCGCGCAGGTGGAGAGGTTTTTCAAGATCTTCCCTCTGCTGGGCCTCCACCAGCAGGGTCTCGCCCGCTTCGGGCAATACCTCTGCACTCAGGTCAGTTCCAAAGTTCCTATTAATGCTCACACAAAATTTTGTTTTGGTCGCGAGACATGTTTCAGTACATAATTTTCCTTCATCATATCGGCAGCCTTTCTTTCTGTATTCCTCACACTGTCTCACCCACACAGCTGGCCTCCAAAGCTGAGGAGAACCTGTTGTTGGCGACGGGAGGAGACCTGGGCGAGAAACGAGCTCTGTTGATTTTTGCAGACACGCTGACACTGCTGCTGGAAGGTGAGAAGATTAAAGTAAAAAAGAAAAATCTGCACGTCTACATCCACCCACACGCTGCTTTGTTTTTACAGGGATCGCTCGTGTTGTTGAGACCCACCAACCAATAGTAGAGACGTATTATGGTCCAGGCCACCTGTGCACTCTCATCACTCACCTGCAGCAGGAATGTGACCGCCAAGCCCAGAAAATAGTCGATAAATTTATCCAGCAGAGAGGATACCAGAACAAGGTGTGTGTGTGTGTTCAGGGTTTAATCCTGTTCATGTCTGCGTCCGCTGAGACCTCGACTCTGTCCTCTAGTTTCAGATTGTCCAGAGCAGCATGATGAAGAACGTTCCAGGGGAGAGGATGGAACCGAGGTACATATCGTTGTCTACTGCGTCTCACGCGTCTGTGAGGTGTTTGTGTTTATGCGTCGTGTCTAACCAGGGAGCTGGACCCCGTTCTGACCGAAGTGACCCTGATGAACGCCAGAGCGGAGCTCTACCTGCGTTTCCTGCGTCGTCGAATAATGGCCGACTTTGAAGTTGGAGATGATCGGAGCGTCACGCAGGGTAGCTTCATAGATTCCACATTTACAGATCTTTTAGGTGAAGAGCGAAAGTAAATGTTCTTTTTCATGTCATACACTCAGAGCATCAGCAGAATGTGGAGAAGCTGCTCAAACACTGTTCACTGAGCAGGACGATGCAGGAGCTGATTGGCTACTACATCCCTATGGAAGAATACTACATGAGGGAGTCTGTCAACAAGGTCAGTCTGATCAGAATGTGTCTTTTTCAAGAGGGGATTCAAATATCCGTCCATGTCCAAAGCCTCCATGAAGGCGAGTAAATAGGAGTCAGAAACGGTGTGGAGCAGCCTCTGTGGGATGTTTTTTTATATCCCAAGTTACCAATCTGTTGCCAATTAATCTAATTATTTCTCGTTGGCTGCACTTGTTTTGAGCATCACTCGGGATACGTCCCGTTGTGTATTCACAAAAGCATTTTATATACCCAGAGTTCACACCAGGTCACTTTAAACAAGCTTTCCATCTACCTTTTAGCGCTATTGCATAACCTTTGTTTTATCCTTTTTTCAGGCTGCCATCTAATAAAAATGTACACATGATCACAAAACTACCTTTTGCTTGATAAATTGCTTTTGTTCAGTTTTTTTTTTTTCAATCTATCTTTTTTGTCTCATTACATTTTTAACATTTTTGATTGAAGCATAGTTTTAATGTGTAGTTTTATGCTTTTTTCCTCTGCCTGCATTTGTTGCAATGCAAAGCCCTTCGGCTAATGTCAACTGAACAACAACGGTTTCGTTTTGAGCCTCAAATGAAGATTTTTTTGGAGTTTGGTTGAAGTAAAATCTCATTTTTGACACATTTCTTGAGTTCATCAACTCAGGTTGGAGTCCTTCTTTCCTGTGTGTTGCTGGTGTAAACTAAATTTTCCCCACCTCCTTTAGGCTGTTGCCATGGATACGTATGAAAAGGGTCAGCTGACCAGCAGCATGGTCGATGACTGTTTCTACATTGTGAAAAAGTGCATTAGCAGAGCGTTATCGAGCTCCAACATCGACTGCCTCTGTGCCATGATCAACCACGCTAACTCTGTCCTGGAGTCCGACTTCAGGTACTCGCCACATTCCTATATTTAACCTCTGCCTCATGTCTCACACACCTACTCCCTGATTATCTGTTTTTTTCTTCTTCTTTCCTTCTGACAGAGAGGTGCTGTACAACAAGCTGCGGCAGGGCTTCCCGGCTACGACGCTGCAGGACATCCAGCGAGGCGTCAGCAGCGCAGTCAGTCTGATGCAGAGCAGCATACAGCAGGGCAAGTTTAACACGCTGGGCATCGAGAGCTCCGAAAACGCCAAGGCTGCATTTCTGGTGAGACCAAATAACCGTTTTCATCTGATAGTCTGGCTTTGGAATTATAATCTGGAACTGACACCACAACGTACCGAGCATTTGCTCATTAGTGTTGACTTCTACCAACACATCACAGCATAACAAACCTTAACTGCTCTTCTTTTCCTCCTCAGGTGACTCTGAACAACGTGGAGGTTTGCAGCGAGAACATCACCACCTTAAAGAGGAACTTGGAGGTACGTTTGACATCATTGCCAAAGCTCCGCCCCTCTGTTTTCTTCATCTTGTTGCTTGAGGAGTGGATCTGTGTCTTGGCAGAACGACTGCTCCAAGCTGTTCAGCCAGGGCGCCGCTTCCGGTGAACAAGCCAAGATTGACAGCTGTCTGTCCGACCTTGTCAGCACTTCTGCAAAGTTCAAGGATCTCTTACAGGTCCAACACGAACACACAGACGTTTTCTGTACATGGCACAATTCATGAATGCTATTTCTCCATAAGCCATTTCATTAAACATCAGTTTGATTGTTTTTAAAAGGTGTGGAACACTGAAAAAAACATTTTTAAAATCTAATTTCTGATTCTAATCAGTCACTCTGAGCTTTTCATCCAGGCTGAACATCATAGTCTTTAACACCAATCCCCTGGATGAGCTTCTGATAGAAAACAGACGGTGAAATTCTCAGATTTGAAAAGCCTGACAGACCTACGTCACACTGTCACTTAACACCCATGGACTCGCCCATCTTGACTCACGACGAGGAAGGCTGTTGTTGGTTTAACGTCCAGGAAACAGCAGAGACCTTCTCGGCTGGTAGAAGCTTACCGTTCCACCACACGGCAAAACTCCTCCAGGCTTGTGTTATTAGCGGAGACAAAACATCCATGTGGCAAGTCAGCGGTAGAGTCATGTTGCTGTTATCCAATCTGAGCCAAGATGACCAAATATCAGGAAATGAGACTCCAAAACTCAGCTGTGACGTGGCTCACTTCTACTTCCTGTGTTTTTTGCCCACTTAGTACGACTAACAAGGCATTCATTCCTACCAGAGGCCACTGCAAATGCATTGATTAAACGAGTGTTCCACACCTTTAAACTAAATTAAGCTTTTCTCTTATTTACAAAAACGCTAAAAGTTCTAGATCTTCTTCCTCAGGAGGGTCTGATGGAGTTAAATACAACAGCCATCAAGCCTCAAGTCAAACCCTGGATCAGCAACTTCCTGTCCATCTCGCACAACATAGAAGAGGTAACGATTATTCCTTTCTTCTCCACACAAACCTCTGGACACTTGTTGCTGTGACTGTTGGTGGTTCTTACAGGAGGAGTTCAATGACTATGAAGCTAATGACCCCTGGGTGCAGCAGCTCATCGTTAACATGGAGCAGCTCATGGCCGAGTTTAAGGTGTTTTAACCTTTCGTGCTCCCTCTCTGAGCCGTTTCTTGAATATTTGAGATAGGTTTGGTAACAGTTGTTCACGTGCCTCTTCAGATGGCGCTCTCTCCTGTCATCTACGACACGCTGACCAGCCTGATGACCAGCTTGATCTCTGTTGAGCTGGAGAAGACGGTGCTGAAGTGTTCTTTCAGCAGGGTGAGAAGCTGAGCTCAGCCACAAGGTGGCAGTGAGCGTCCTCATCAAAAGCCTCCAGCAGTGATTTATTAGAGGCCTGCAGCAGAAGGTGCTTGATTATGTTCTGCTAGCATTTCTCCTTCATCTAATTCTTTCTCCACTCTGATCTTTGCCGTCGCAGCTCGGAGGGCTGCAGTTTGATAAAGAACTTCGGTCTCTTGTGGCGTATCTCACGACGGTGACCACATGGACCATCAGAGACAAGTTTGCACGCCTCACACAGATGGCCACCATCCTTAATCTGGAGCGGGTAATTTCGAGTCACACCCACATAAGTACAGCATCCATCTTTAAATGATGTCATTAACATTTAGGGAGGAGGTGTGTCGACCCTGAAACTAAACGTATGTAGTTAGTTTATGCTGCTGTAAATTTCTTATCTTTTATTTTTTCCAGATGAACAAATCAAATCAAATTCATCAATAAATCAGTCTTTCTTATAATAACCCAAGTAAAATTACTCACCCACAGCAACCTCAGTTTGTCTCAGTTCCTCGATTTATTGATTTTAGGTGTACAGTTTAATAAATGAGTCTATTAGCTTTGCTAGAAAATGCAGTGATAAAGTCACCATTTATTAGTAATTTAGCTAAAGGTTGAAATATTCAGCATGTATAATCGGTATGTAATATTTCAAATGATGGGGTGTTTTTTTAAGTTGTTTGAGGTCATTTAATTGCATTGATAAAAGTACTATTTCAGACTATTTTTTTAAGATTTCAGTAGAAAAAATGTTTTTATTTCTGTGATGCAAATTCACAAAAAGTTACTTTATGCAAAAACTTTTTTTGGGGTAAATTTCACTTTCTAAAGATGAAATTAAGTTTAAACATAATGCAGTTTTTTTGTTTTCCTTCTTCGGTGCATTTCAACAAATTTCTTTCAGTTTTTTTTTATTTTTTTTATTTTTTTGAAGCTATTTTGATTGTTGAATATTTAAAGAAAGAAAAAATCTTTTATTCAGTGCCTCTCAAGACAAAAAATCCCAGAAGCGGACACGTTTCCCCCAAATTTGTTAAAGATTATTTAAATAAATATGCACCGATGTAAAATTGTTGGCCAATATCTGATATTAATATCACTGTTATATTCGATAACTGATATTTACCGATGTAAGAAAACAACAAAACACAGAAATATTGCAATATTTTGTGTTCAAATATTGAATTGATAAATAAAAGCAGTGTTCAGATTTTTTATTGAGGATTTACATGCAAACATTTACTTTATTTCTATTGTGGGGTTCAATTCAAAGCCTGACTGCTCATTGGCAGCAGTTTTTACCACCTTCATTCTGATGGAACAAGATCTCGAGGACACTGAATGTGTTTTACAAGCTTCTGACCTGAGTTCTTCATTAAGGATCAGTGTAAAAATGCAAATGTTGTGACTTTTAGTGTCATAATAAATCATATCCTCTCTTGTATCGTGATCTATATTATATCCCCACATTCTTGCCAGTAAACACTCCTAAACATAAGAATGACTAAACAATTACACATTATCACGCCCCTCAGCCTCTGAGACAGATGCACAAACTGAAACAAATTGAAAAAAATTATCGGTTGTTAATTTCGGTCCAGTTTTACTTATAGGACCGATACCGATCTGTTAAAAAAATCACTAACATCGGCCGATACTGATATTGATGCCGATATATCATGCACCCCTAATCCAAAATCTAAAATGACATTTTTTTTTCCAAATGTGTATTAAAGAGATCCTTTCCACCTTTTTCATATTTTTAAAATCTTTTTCTTGAGCCAGTATGTGCTAAAATAAACCATCAATTCTGGTCCTGGAGGGCCGGTATCCAGCACGTTTTAGTGGTTTCTCTGCTCCAACACACTTGATTCAGTGGTTGAATCACCTGTGCAGCAGCTCATCAGGCTCTGCAAAAGACTGTTAATCACCTGCTGGTTGAAACAGAGTTAAAACTAAAACCTTCTGGATACCGACCCTCCAGGCCTGGAACTGAATACCCCTGCTTTACAGGGTTAATGAAAGGTCACGCAGCCTCCATCGCCCCTTGTGCCCAGAATATTCCACTTGCAACTTTGGACTGGCAGGTCGCTCTGACATACCTGGTGCTGCAGTCTGCTTCCAGCATGTTTCCTGAAAGTTTTAGCTCATGGACTCAGCTGATTTGTTTAATTTAGTGATGAATCACTTCTGAAGACACTATGGAAGCCTGGGGAGACATTTCAGCTTTCAGATTGAGGCTTTAAAAAGATGAACGCACAGTGGGGGAGAGATGTTTTGCTTTTGGTTTTACAAATGGACACTAGGGGGTGCTAAAAGCTAGCCGACACGGCCTTAAATGCAGAATAGTTGGCCACCGCTGAGATGCACCTGTTTGTTCAGTCTGCATCCTTTGATTAGATGTCAAAATAAAGACAGAAGTTGTCCTTTTTTCTAGAAATACTACCGATCTCCTCGGTTTCTTTGCTCAAATTCACTTGTTCTGATCTCTACTGCAGGTAACGGAGATCTTGGATTACTGGGGTCCTAACTCAGGCCCACTGACATGGCGGCTGACTCCAGCAGAAGTGCGTCAGGTTCTTGCATTACGGATCGACTTCAGAAGCGAAGATATCAAGAGGCTTCGACTGTAACTCAGGAGCCAGAGGAAACGAGAGAAGCGCGACCCACCTGCCGCTCCCTGGTCCTGGATGCTCTGTAAACAGACGTGTGCGTGGTACCGATGGACGACGGGAGGATTTCGGTGACTCTGCCGATTCTGAATTTGTTACAGCTGATCTGTTAAGGACTGGGAGTCTGAGGATGAACTGATGTAAAGTGTAAAAAGTGTGATTAAACTTGTGTGATGGTATCACAGCGGAGTTTAACCGGTAATTATCTGTGAGAAATAAGGACACACTGGGACCGAGGAGTGGAGCCGTGGGGCTGTCGGGGGAAACGGAGCAGTAATGAACATCATGGCCATTAAACTGACAGAAGCAGGTCAGACAGCTGATCCAGCCCCGTCATTCAATATATGAATAGCTCCTTGTCGCTGATGATGGAACACTTTTAACCTAATAAACCGAGAGCTGCTGTGCCGCACTTCTGAACCCCCCCCCCCCCCCCCCCCGCTCCGCCACATTTCACTGCTGCCCTGTTGCCATGCAGGAGCTGATCCCATTTTTTTAAACATATTTCTGATTCTAAATACAGAGCTTTGTTCGCGAGGCAGCGAAGCATTAAAAGTGGTTCGCGCTCATAATGTTCAGCCTAATTTCCTGGTCTAACCTTGATCCTCCGCACAGATTAAAGTGGGTCAGTATGTGGCGGGAGCGGCACCTCGACGATGGTACAGCTCGTTATTGACTCTAGTCACCTTGCAGCGTAATCAAACTCAAGACCACGAGAGCAGAAATAGTTAGGAAAAGTGTGGCTTTAATGTAAACACAACATTCGATTGGCTCAGCACAAACATTCCACATGAGAGCAACCAATAAACTACTGAATAGGATGGGGGAGGAGGGGGTGCAGCACAGTAACATTCACAGTAAAAAAAAAAGAAAAACAAAGTGGTGTCATAATATATATATACAGTACGGTGCTTTTAAGGTGAAAATGGAGTTAAGATGAGAGGAGTGATATGTAATGAGTTAAAAGAGTGCAAGGATGGGAGGGTGAGTCTGGGTGCACCTGTGAATATGAAGGGCTGTACAGACAGTGGAGTGTGTGTGAGAGGGGAGGGGGGTCCGTGTTCGCTGATCAGAAAGGAAAAGAGTTAAAAAATATCCCCAAATAGAGGCTGCCTCAAATGAGGTTTTCCTTGTGCAGTCTTCTGTTTGTACAGAGGAGGTGTGGTCGGAGATCTGCTTCCCACCCTCTGGACGGTTAACGGTGCACGCCAGTGTTTCATGACAGGAAATAAATATGTGGCACGGGATTTCAGGAGACAGGAGGCATGTAGGGCATGAGGCGAAAATGAATAAATCCTTTAATCATTATAAAATCTTATATATATATATATATATATTAGTTTAACAATATAGTTTATAGATTGGACTATAATTTCTGATTCTGTTCACCTGTCGTTCTCAGATGGTCGGTACCAATATTACTTTTTTCTTTTCGAGACATCACTGGCTAATTGATTGTTTTTTTTTATTATTTTCATGCTACAGGAGGCCACTGGCGACGAGCAGCCACTCTGAACAGAGGGATTGTTTGTTTGGTTATGCAAAAACAGAGCGGAGCAGACCTGCAGGCTACTCGGTCATGTGTGGGTCTGGAGGAAAGTTAACAGCCTCCTTTAGATCCATGACCCTCAGCCACAAGCACAGCTCCTCTCTGACATCCTCACCATTTCCACCTTCACACACTGCAGCCCTTCAAACAGCACCAGAGGCTGGATTCAGTGGAAACGCCCCAAGGCGGGCCTTCTAGAGAGTGCATCTGACTCTGTGTTCAGGAGTGACATCAGACACTCCTTGTGTTGCATTTGGCTGCTCGGAGGGGGACAAGGCTCCTGCTGAATGAACCCCGGGTGCTTCTGATGAGCCCACACAGTCCTCAACAGCAGATGAAACATTCAGCTCAAAAACAGATCATGTTTGTAACAAATAAAACTGGGGGAGGGGCGGGGTTATATTCAAATCAAAACGACAGGAAAGAAACAAAACGTGGCGATGATCCGGTGCGGTGTCTGACGGCAGCTCTTTGGGTCCATTTTGGACATGTAGAATTACATTTTTTTTTTACGTGTTTAAGTATCCTCAAAAATGATCATTATTAACACCTCACACACTCCACGACAACCTCTGTGCTTCTGGCCCGGCCTCAGTATAAGCCACACCCTCTCAGGTTGTTTGCAATAATGATGTCAGTGACGGCATCAAACACTACCTGGATGTTTCCTGTGTCTGTGGCACAGGTCAGGTGACAGTAGATCTCCTTGTTGGGAGAACGGTTCTTACTCTCAAACTGAACCTGAATGTATGCAGTAGCATCTTCATAAGTGTTAGCACCTGGGTGGACACAGAGGAGACGGGACAGCGTGAGACAGAGACACTCATTCATGTCAGCTATGCTCCGGGGAGGAGGGGTCCGTGGACTCACCTGTGTATTCTGGAAAACAGATCGTCAGCGGCGACTTCTTGATCTTCTCGGCAAACAGATCTTTCTTGTTGAGGAAGAGGATGATAGAGGTGTCGATGAAGAACTTGTTGTTGCAGATGGAGTCAAAGAGCATGAGCGATTCATGCATCCGGTTCTGAAATAAGAATATTCCACTGAGAGCGTTTCATCGACGTGTTCGGTGATTTGAATTTTAAAATCCTTTACAAGGTTTTCTCTCCTTTTTAAAATCTGTCAAATCTAAAATCCCCAGCAGACGAAATGTCTCTGTAAGTTGTGACTTTAGGAACTGGAAGAAAAATAGCAAAGATCTGACGCAGAACTTCCAAGATGAGAGATAACAATCACTTTCTGAAGATTAAATATGATTTATTTTACGTCAAATTGTGTTGTTGTTTTTTTTTTTTTTTTTTTTTCATAAATTTAACCAAAGAAATTTATACATATAATGTAATGTACCTAAAGTTCTCATTTTAAATGTTTTTTTGGTAATTGTCTGTTATGTATCAACAAAAATTAAATGATTCATTGGTCAGAATTAAGATTAAGATTCTTAAAGAGCAAGTCACCCCCAAATAAACTTTTTTTTTGCTGATAAACTAAATAAACGAGTGTCTAATCGTGCTGCAGACACGTGTCGTCAATAATTTGGCACTTCAGCGCATCTTAGTTAAAATTTAAATCTTCTGCCTAAAACTGGCAGTGTTGTGCCGTTGTCAGGTAAAAACTCTGCACTGTATTTGAATTTAAATCCGCCATCGCTATTGGCTAAGAGGTATGCTATGGTGTAAACTGGTACATTATGATGCCACAATGCTGTCGTAAGCCTGTGTGTGTGTGTATTTGTTAGCGGCTCCGCCCTCTCGGTCTGCCAGGCAACAGCATGTGTTACATTTTTCAAACATGAAGTGGGAGTGGAGTTAGACTCTGGTAGGGGGTGACTTGCTCTTTAACAAACATACAAAGCTATGAAAGTTCAAAAGATTCAGTTCTGGGGATTAAAGCATGGTGCTTGTTGTGTGAATCAAAGTCTGTGAAATACAAATAAAACAGATTTTTGTGTTTTGACTGATTCTGGACTCATTGGTGGCACTGGTTCACCTTTCAGGTGTGCGTTCCACAGTAAATTCTGCTGAGTTGCTGAACACTTACAGTTGTTTCGTCTTCATGGAGCACCTGGTCATATCCGCTCAGAGCAACGCAAAAGATGATAGCTGTCACATCCTCAAAGCAGTGGATCCACTTTTTCCTCTCTGACCTCTGACCTCCGACATCAAACAGCCTGAAAAAGGAGGCAGGAAAACAAATCAGGTGTTGAGCTACAACTGTTGAACTTCATCTTAGACGCCTGTTCTGAGAGGCTGAGCTTTACCTGAAATGAAGGTTTTTGAAGGTAAAGTGGGTTTCAACGATGCCAGTTGTCTTCACTCGGGTCCTCAGGATGTCCTGCTCTGTAGGCTGATAGTCCAGGGCTCCGATTCGGTCTAGACTGTCCAGGTAGCTGTCGAAAACAGGAAGTAGGGTTGATAAACGCTCTGGATTAGTGGCACAATGTTATTTCTGAGCAGAGGCTTTTAGGAGGTGTTTTTGCTGTACTCACTATTGAGCAGAGTCATTAAGCTGGTATTCTCGGGCACGGTTGAAGCACTCCTGAGTCCCGGCGTCGGCCCATAAACGCTTCATAGCAGCGAGAAGCTCTGCGGAGTACGGCTCCGTGTCCTCCATACGACTGACGACATCACAGACCAGCTTGGCATCGGCCTGGATGAAACATGTTTCATAAGTTCAGAGGAGCAGAAGTAAAAATGTCTGCTTGTTAATTATTTACCAGCAGCTCAAACGACTTTCTGGGATGATTTGCAGTCATTTCTTTACTGTTACAGGTCAAATATTCCCAGAAAATGTTTTTTTATCTTTAGGAAAAGCAAAGCTAATCTTTAGAAAACTTGGTAGGATATGAGTGAGACTAACTTTCCGGTCCTTGTCTCCAAACTCAATCCCGAGGGAATCCATGGCTCGGAGGATGGCTGCCAAGCTCTGGATGGTGTTGCTGTAGACCACTGGCTTATACTGCTTCACATCATCCCCAGAAAAGCCATCTTCATGGATAATCCTGCATGCGTACGGAGATATTATCAAAGCCTGGACCGAGCAGGAAAAAAGTTGCAAATGTCCATATGTTCCTGCGTTACAAAACAGCTATCTTGTTACAATAAAAGCCCCAGGTTTTTATGAAACTCAGTAGGCCTGCGTGTGTGTGTGTGTGTGTGTGTAGTGATTATTTTATTATGTTTGTTCTCATCCTCTCCCCATGTTTCTCTCATCTAAGCATGAGCCTAACGGGAAATGGTCATATTCTCTCTCTGCGATGTGTAACCGGGCAGTAATGTGATATTTCAGTCATTTATAATTCATGAACTGAAATCAATCAGACCACTGATCAATCACGGCTCCACAACTCTGGACTGTTAAACTTCTTACAGCATTAAAGCATCCATCAGCGGCACATCTTCACCCTGACCAGATCTATAAAACATCCTCCAGAAGCCCACTCCCACAGCTACTTCATTCTCACCGCCGTACAGCAAGGAGGGGTGGGGTTAAAAGAAAAGATGTGGGATAATTGTTTTCATCTCATCAGGGCACATTATGAAAAGATGTTTCACAGCCGACTACAGCCACCTGGCCTGAATCTCCAGCACCATCATCACAATTAACAGTTTTATGAAATACAATAAATTGACCCTCAGGGGAGGGGGGGGTGGGGATGAGCTGAGGCTGAAGCTTTATGGAGCAAACAGATGAATATTATCAACTTGAACATTTGGAAAGACTAAATGCTAATAATAATAATTATTATTATTATTATTATTATTATTATTATTATTATTATTATTATTATTATTATTGTTGTTGTTGTCATTGGTTTTAAAGAATAACTTATCAGCAGTAGTTAAAAAATAAACTGCTGACGTGTCTACAGCAGCCTACTTGAGTAATTATTAAAATCTACAACGCCCTTTAAATTGTTCTTGAAGTCAACTCGTCCCTGTTAGTTTGGACATGACTCCACCGTCTCGCTCATGGGCCAAACCAGAGAAGCTCGTCTGGATGTGAAGATGATGGTGATGAGGATGAGGCAAAGAATCACAGCAAAGCCCAGTGCATGAACCCTCCGATACCTAGACTTTATGACCCAGAGCATGTAGTAAAACCCATCCATCTGCTGCTGGCCCGTGGCTAAAGCAAGCCCGGAGAGTATTTGTAAACACTATTTGGACCAGCATCTTGGTTCGGAGCAGAGCAGTAAGTTATGGACAACCAGGGAGCTCTGGGAGGGTAATGAAGAGGAAAAAGGGAGGGTGCAGTGAGTCGATGCAGAGTGCAGAGCAGAGCAGGAAGGAGGAGACACTCAGATGCTGCTCACAAAAGAGCTGCTGCATGGTTGACGGGACAAAATGTGAAAGAGCTCTGGTTTTTTGTGCAGAAACATCTAGAAACTTGACTAAGAGGTTTACATGAAACAAAAGCAGTCGTTTAAAACACCAAAGAGTCATTTAGCTCAGACACGAAAAGGTTTAGATGCGGTTTTAGGAGCCATATTTCTGCGTAAATCCGCTTTATAGGCAAAGTACTCCCGGCGATATCAGGCACTTAAAGCCATTAAGATTAAAAGCAGAGGTATTCACTAATGGAACAGCAGTGACCTCACTGTAATTCACACACGCGCGCGCGCACACACACTGCACACACACACACACAGACACAGACACACACACGTCCCCAGTGGCACACTCCCCGTAGTCAAGCAAAACCTTCGTTAACTACATTTCAGCACCCCGGCAGTGAACAGCACCCTGGGACGCACCGGCGGCCTCCGCAGCCCTGCTGACGGTCTGCAGGAGGTGCTCGAGTCACCGGTGCTCCTCCGGGGCTTCGGCCTCTCGGAAACATGGCGGCTCAACCTGCCTTAGTGCTGACAGGGGAGGCGCAATCTCAGGCCTTTCACTCCGGCTGAGTTGGAGAATACCGATATGATATAAATAAATAAACAAATCAGGCTGACACTTACTTCATTTGTTTGACGATGGTACTTTTCCCGGATTCTCCGCCGCCTGCAAAGAACGGAGGGCAGAGAGAGAGCAGGCATTGAAATCAGTACCACGGAGAGCACCTCCGCCCCACGCAGTCCCAGCAGCAGCCCCGCGGCCGCGCCGCCGCTTCCCTTACCGAGCAGGAGCAGTTTGACGTCCTTGGCGGCGACCAGCCCGTCCTCCTTCAGGTTCTTCTCGATGGCCTTGCTCCGGTCCAGAGCTGCGCGCTCCTCGGCGCTCAGTGTACACCCCATGTTTCCAGGCGAATGAGCGGTCCCGTCGAGTCCCCAGTCCGCCCTGTCCCTCTCCTGCTCTCGGTCGCCGCGGTGTCTCTCAGTCTCGCTCTCCTCCCGCGCTGTCTGCTACAGCATAGGCCCGGATTCGGAGCGGAAAATAGAGCCGGGATCCCGAAACAGTCTTCTCTCCGTGAATGTGCACTCTCCGTTCCGTCCCCTCTCTCAGAGGGGGGTGGGGGGGGGAGGGGGGTCGCTGTGCGCTAGCCTGCAGGGTTGGGGTTGTTGTTAGGCGGGGAGAGCGGGGGGGTCTCGAGCTCTATCTCTCTACAGGGCGGCGCTGGTGATGATGACAGAGAGCACGAGCGATTTCACCGTATACTTTCACGAAGGCTGGCAGGAGGTGGTATGGCAGGCTGTTACCACATATAATCAACAACGTTTTACATGTCTCCTGTTCAGAAATAGGTCGATTTAAATTACATTTTTGAAAATTCTGATTTAAGGTGGGTTGGTGTGTAATCGGTCACATGGCATCGTATCGAATTTAAAATATATTGCGAGCTTAAAAGAGTTTTAATCATAAGATGGATATGTAAGGCATCGATTGTTCAATTATTTTAGCGGAAATATACATTGCAAGTTTCTAAAAAGGCCGTTTTTATGCTCAGTGAAAATCTGACATATGTCAGTCATTCCTTCTTAAATTATTGAACGCTTCCCACTAGTGTTGTGGGCTTTCTTTTATACACAGATCTAGGCTACATGGTAAAACAATACGAAAACACATTTTATTTAACATTTCTGCTAAAAATTCCAATTCACACGTTTTATACAAACGGTAAGTCAAATATTCCTACCGCTAAAATTAGCTAAATTTGGTCATTTTGCATCAGAAACATTAAGGAAATAAAATTTTCAACAAAAATGCTTCCTAAAAAAACTTTGTCCAAATGTAAAAAAAATATCAAACTTACTTTATAAATGAGAAATCATTACAATAGTTTTAATCGCACACACAAGAATTAACTATTTTGAGTTCACGTTTCTATGATACATTTGCTTCCCACACAGGGATGGCCGCGCGAGACTCACCTAACAATCTGGTTTACGTCAGAGCTGTCAAGCTCTAATCACGTCCGGTGAAAGATTTAAATGGAAAAGACTCCTAAATGGCAAATGTTACCCTCCTGCCTGGTGTTACTGGTGTGTTCTTGTAATGAATTAAAATGTCCCAACTTGGCCACCGTCGCTCATATTCTTGTTCTCCAGGACCTGGGTGACGTTTAATCATGTCAACAACATTAAGTAGGTCTGAAAAACACCCGGTGGTGGACACGGAACACCAGGTGAACATTTAATTACGTCAAAAATATAGCACGTTAACCGGGTTAAATGCGTTAAAATACTCATTAGTGAATTTATTTTTACAGATTTTAAAGGTGAATAGCAAATTCTACACAAGGTGGGTGAGAAACTAAAAATAGATTATTGATCACCTGATGCTTGTGCGAAATAACAGCACTTCACTATAAATTATGATCTTTTAAATTAAAAATTAATTTCACTGCTTAACAGTTTTTCATGGAAATCAAATATAATTTATGCAAATACTTATTAAAATCAGAAAATTCAGTAGTAGGCCTATAGCGCATATATATATATATATATATATATATATATATATATATATATATATATATATATAAATAAAACATCAGCCATTTTCAAATTTGTTTTTTGTTGGCAAAAATAAAATATTCTCCTACACTGAGTCAGATTCAAGCAAAAAAAATCACTTAATGCATTAAATGTTAAGCTCTGTTGAAGTATGACCACAGACGGAATTTTTTTAATAATGTTACATAATACCACTCTTTATGTAAATTAATTGCTCTCCATTATTGATATTAAAAAATAAAAAGACATACTGTTTCACCTGGTTCAGAATTACAGCAGCATGAGAAGTAGCCTATTTCTTCCTTGATGTTGTCTGTTTTTGGTAAAAATGTTCACATCACGAAACAAATTGCTGTATTACAAGACAAAATAAACGCAAAATGCAGTTTTCAAATGATGATTTTATTCATTAAGGAATAAATATGAAGGTCGTTGTCGTTCAAAGTGTCCGAACTTGTACATCTGTTGTGTTTGTGCAACATGATGTGAGCTTGAAAACTCAGATGTGTGTGTGTGTGTGTGTGTGTGTGTGTGTGTGCAGTACAGTGTGAGAAGCTGCACATCAACACATGTAAATTTGTAAAGAGAAATATGTACTTGTAAGAAAAACGGACATGCATGTGAAATAAAACAATGTTGTTACATTTTCAACTACAAGTTTGTGAACACAAGTCTACAGATCTGTTTCTATGCATGCTCAGCTCTTCTCTTACAAGTGTACAACTCTCCTCTCTCACGTGTGACTTTGAAGCACTTCTTGCAGGTTGTTCTGATTAAATCTCTGCTGCAGAGGCGAGAATGGAGCAGAGGAAGGAGAGGGCAGGGAAACAGAATCAAATCAATCAGTGAGAGCTAAAATTTCCCCAAGTTAGCATTAGCTAAACATTCTGGGTAAGTTCATTTTCAGTGACTTTCTGTCCTTAATTTAACTTAGTTCATCTTCTTTTTAAATGAGTGAAGTGGCACGACAGAACGATGACGGTACTAATGCTTAGTCTGGCTAATGCTAATACAGCCTGCTATGCTAGGCTAGTGCAAATCATTTCTATAAGAGTAGCTTAGCATGATGTCACTGTCAGAGCCAGCCCTAGGCATATTCAAGGTAAGTGACTGCTTGGGGCCACTGTGCCACCAGGGCACCCCTAAGAGCACCAAGATAGCATTTACAGATTTTTACCAACTTTTAATTAAAAAAAACTAAATTATATTAAATTTGGAGAAATTGTTAATATATTATTTTGTACTGTGTCATTTATATTGTGCCTTTGGTTTAATTTATAGTGATTGAACATTTTATTCACATCTGTTCCAAATTTTAAGAACAAAAAAATAGTAAACTTGGCTTGTTTGCTGTAAATGTTGTGTTTTTTTGCTGATGTTGCTTTAAAATAGTTTAATATACCACTTACAAGAAAACCTGCATAGGGCCCCTCAATGGCTTGGGCCGGCCCTGGTAACAGTGGTGTGTTTTTTATTTTAACTAGACTTAAAATATCTGCCAAGCAATAATGAAGACAAACTCGATTTATGGTCATGCATAACCTGCTTCTAAGATTCAGTTTGTTTATTTATTGTATAGTTTTCAAGTATTGTGTAAATCAAACTGAAATCAGTTTCTTTTTCATTCAATTTTCAAAATAAATTAATCATTTTGAAAAATCAGAACTGTTATTTAAATTTAAAACCTTTGATTTCCTTTTCCTGTCTCTGGGAAGCTTCTTCGTTTTATTACATAGAGTTAAACTGGAATATTAACAGGTCAGTGGTTCCCAAGGACTAGAATTAGAAAAACACAACTTAACTATGTAAAAAGTCTAATTTGACATGCAGTGGTTGTTTTGTGGCTGACTGAAATCTAAAAAGAATTAATCTGTTTAAAAAAGTCTAAATCAAATGAATAAGTACCATGTGTTTTATTTGTGCCTAAATAAAGCCCATATTTGTTAAATGATTAAATAGCAAATTCCAGCTCATAATGTTTAGACTAATTTTACTTTGTAAACACAATTACTGCTTTTTTGTTGTTGTTTGTTTTAATCCAGGTGGTTCTGTATAACAGGAGGATCACACTGAATGCCCTGTTGCTGTCAAGTTTAAACACTAGCTACCTGTTTGGCTGTTCCATTATTAGTCTACTTTTGAACAGTTTAAATTCCAATTTAATGAGAAAATATAACAATTTTGCCATCCCATGTTTTTCCCAAAACAAAAATGCTATGTATCCTCTCCACAGTCACTACATGCTTGCTTAATATGAGGATGGCTGTAAAGACTCTGACACTAGTCAGTGACTTGATGCAATCTGCTGGGTTCCTTATATAGGAAACTTTTTACTGATTGGCTTAATGAACTGAATTGTATTGGAATGCTTGCTTTGTGAAGTGACTTGAGATGACTCATTGTGATGTGGTGCTATATGCATAAACTGAACTGAATCTGGACTGAATTAAATATTCACAATTTCAAACCTGAACATTACATGTACAGTAGTTGGCTATTGAAATTGGGATGTATAAACAGACTTCTAAGTTATATGATCAATATTTTACTTTATTTTTTCAAGTTGGTCTCAACTGATGAGAGCTCAGGCGTTTCAGATGTCAGACTGTGCAAGTCTAGAGTTGGTCCGTCCTCCTTACGTGTGGAGTTGATGTTTCTTGCATGCAATGAAAAACAGAAAATTACGGGTTACAAATGCAAGTTTTACATATCACATTACATATGTTAATATTTGTCATTCAATACTTGAAAAAAGATCATAAATTGTGGAAAGCAACAAACAAAACTGGGTGCCAAATAATTTAAAATGGGAACTCAATATAATTGATCTCATTTAATATTTAGAAAACATATAGAATAGAATAAAATAGACTTCATTGCTCCCACAGTAAGGAAATTCACTCGTGTTTGTATATATGGTACTTTTTAATTTAATTTGGAACGTTCTCAAAACCTAAAAAAATACAGTCAGCCACAGCATGTCAAAATATACTTTTTATTTAATAGAAAAATTGTGTATTTCTAATTCTAGTCCTTAGAAACCACTGTCCTGTTAATATTAACTCCATGTAATAAAATGAGGAATCATCTACGTGATGCAGACCATGTGAGGCTAGAATAAGGAAATGAAAACCAATCAATTAAAATAAAGTTATTTTTTTAATTAAATTAAAGTAATTTATTTTGGAAAATATAAAAAAAACTACCTGCTTACACATTACTTGATACCAACAAAATAATTAAACGAACTGAATCTTAGAAGCTGGTTATACATGATTACATTTCGAGTCTGTCTTTATTATTGCTCAGCAGACATTACGTTTAAATAAAAACAAACCACAGTGACATCATGCTAAACTACTCTGACTGAAGCCTAGCATAGACGGCTGTATTAGCATTAGCCAGACTAGTACTATCATCTTATGTTAACTCAATACTAAACAGCACGACGTTCCGTCGTGTTAGCGTCGCTTGTCTAAAAAGATTAAATGAGTTAAAATAAGGTTGGAACGTCACTGAAAACGAACTTACCCATAGTGCTTTGCTAAAGCTGAGATGCTGAGATGCTGCAGAGTTGCGAAGTGCTGAGTGGTTTTCTTACAGCTACACAGCTGTTCAGTCCCAGGTCCTTGAGTTCCCTTCGCATTGTGGAGATGCCGCTATTAAACATAGCCCTGAGCTCTACTGTTGCTTTTCTTCGATTACATTTCACCAAACATTAAAGTGATCGCCGATCACGATCATTCAGGATTTTTTTCCAGCCACAGTTCTTCCTCGAAGACGATGGGTCCTCGTTATCCTTCCAGTTTTTAATAACGCGTTGGAAAGTTCTTAACCCAATTTTAGTAGTTTCTGTAATCTCCTTAGATTTTTTTCTCTGCTTGATGCATGATAATGATTTGACCCTACTCAAACAGACTAATATCTCTTCCACGACGACGATATGTGTCTTCTTCATCATCTATTTGGGGTCTTATGGCACCCTGCGAGAAACCAAGAAACGTGTCTTCGTCATTGTGCAGGCGGGTTGCACGCAATGTGTCATCCGACATGACTGTTTACAAAATGAGAAAAAGCAGCTGGGATGTGCGGATCGATACTAAAATATTGATTCATCCGATTCTAGATATTTTTGTTTTGGACTTGATTCCATCATTAACGTGCCGATTTCTGAGTAATTTTATTTTATAAAATGTTGGGACATTTTCCAAAAATGATTTTTCTCTGGTGAGAACTACTTCTTCTTCCGCCAACAGTGGTGCGTGATTGTCACAATATAAATACATTAAGCCGCCACTAGGGGCGCACACTGCGCTCCCTTCTGTCTATTCCATGGTCTAAACTGAGAAATTGACAGATATTCTGAGATGAAGTGACACCACAAACCTGATTAAACATCTAAAAATATGAAAACGTCATGATGAGGTGGTGAGAGGAAGGAAAGGTGCTGCTAACATGAAACTGACATCTCTCTTCGAGTTTTTTGGTGCTACAGTCAGGTATTATCAAGGTATAAAAGGTGAGAATATGGAGCTGTTTAAGAAGTTTAGCACGGTCAGTGAATTCAGGACAGTTATTTACATCAGTTTTCTTAAGTTTGGGTCGTTATCATCGACGTATATGGTTGTTATTCAAACAAGTATTTTTTTTAAACTAAGGGTTCCCATTTATTCGAATTTAAAATGAATGGAATGCAAAAGTTAAACTCTACAATTAATAGCTGCACGAATTTTAATTTGGAGTTACATTTAATACGCCTATTTTTAGTCAGGTGAGGCTTAATGTAATTAAGTGATTTAAAATGGATTACATAAACCAAGAGTTATTCAAATGTAAAGTACTTTAATTAAATATGTGATTCACTTTAAAAATGTAAAGATCATAAGACAACATTCCATTACTTAGACTGATAATATTATTGATATTTGTCAGTTAAACTATTAAAGTTGTATTGTTTTATTCTCAATTATTCGAAATATTTTGACTGATTGTTAACTGAATATTTCAAGATGTAGGTATAAACAAATGCATTAAATTATGTATTTTATTGGCAATTTTAATTTGAGTCAAAGCATTCAGCAGATGTGTGTAAACTAGTATTTCCACTCTCCTTGGTGTAAGTTGTTTTGAGAGCTTAATCTAAATAAGATTAAACATTTAATAGCATGTGATGCCATGGTTTTGTCTTTCCTGTGTATATGCGGATAATTCTCCAAGAGCAATAACACTCGCAAGATGAGATAGAGAATGATCTCCAGCCTCTGTCCATAGTGGAGGCTTAAGACATTCAGCAATTTGTGAGGGAGTATTGACCCAATATATAGACTTCCAGGCAGAAATAAACTCAGAGACTAATCAGTTCAAGCTATAATATAAATATATTACTTTGTATTTTAATTTTTCCAAACAAAATCTAAGTATCAGTATTGGATCGGAGACACTGGTGAAACATTTCCAGGAACTTGAAGTGAGCCACATTTCAGCTGAGCGTGAGGCGCCAGGTTTTGGAGTCTTATTTTCTGATATGTGGGCATCTCGCTCCGGATTGGATAACAGCAGCGCAACTCTACCACTGGCTTGCAACGTTGATGTTTTATCTCCACAATTAACACAAGCCTAGAGGAGTTCTGCTGTGTGGTGGAGTTGCTAATGCCAACTGTTAGCTTCAACTAGCCAAGACGTTGTCTGCTGTTTTGTGGACGCTAAATTAACAACAGCCTTCCCCGTCATGAGTCAAGTTGGGTGAGTCCATGAATGTTAAGTGATGGTGTGACATAGAAGCTTTTCAAATCCTTGAGTTTGACTGTCTATTTTCTATTATAAGCTAATGTAGGAGATAGGGGTAGGACACGAATTTCATGATAAGCTTGCATGCAAAACTCAGAGTTTAGGAGTATAATTAGAGTTATAAAAATGTTTTTTCAGTGTCCCACACCTTTAATAATCAATGTCTTCTTTTGAAAATTCACTAGTTTAGTATTATGTCAGTGTTAACAGCAAGTTTATATTATGCAATAGGCCCTGAACCCAACCAAAAACGACTACTACATCTAGCATAATGTCACTTTTAGCAATAGTTAGGACATAAGTAAAAAGAGCTGTTTATCTGTAAATTACAACTCCTGAAACTCTGTTTGTACCATACAGCTGTAATAAGTGCATGATAAAAGCTTCTAATCCACTCATCACATCTGGATGGATGAAGGGGTAAAGAGAACAGACTCTGGATGAAACCAGCAGAGGATTTCCCCAGCAAGGCTGATTTAAAACTCCTAACACACACACACACACACCTCCTCCTCTTCTCCAGCTGAATCTCACACATACGTACACACAGGTACAACACTGGCAATCAGCAGTCCAATCAAAAAAGTTTGCACGTGTTTGTGTGAGTGATGGCAGAGGGGAAAGGAGGATTAAAACTAAATTACACCTGAGGGAATTTAGGCAAAATCGTGTTTTCAGTTTTAATTACTCTAATGCATCCAACACAAACATTAAGCCCTTTTATTCATAGTCATTTAATTTGCAAGCACCCATTTTCATAAACTAACTCAACAACCTTCAGCTGTGTCGTCCTTAGAAACGAGACCTGACCGGCTTTATTTAAAAAATGACTTGTAGAGCAGAAAAAAAGAGGTACATGATGAAAACCATTTACACAGAGCATTTAACGCCCGACGGCAAATCCTTTTGACAGTGATGACCGATTACTTCAAATAAAAGAAAACAACTAACAATAATACTAATAACTGATTTAACAAATTCTGAATGAACCATCCACACACACACACACACACACACACACACACACACACACACACACACACACACACACACACACACACACACACACACAAGAATGATTTGAAACACAAAGAAGACAGACAAGAACAATCACACTGAATGTCAAAAGCAGGCAGGTTAGCGTCCCCCGTCCTCGTGCACAGGGGACCTGTCCCCTCAGTTTTCACGAGTTACTCTCTGGGCTGTATGTCCAGAATGTTTTCAGCCAGGCTGGTGAGTTTGCTGTCCTCCAGAGCTCTGACCAGTCGGCTCAGCTTGGCTGCCCTCCCCTCCGCCTGGATGAAGCGGCTGAGCAGCTGATAGGCTTGCTCATACAGCCCTTCTCTCTCGTACTCGTAGGCCAGGTTGTCTATAGCCGGGCCCTTCAACGCACGACAGCTCTTCCCCAGGGCCCTCCCTACATTCCTCCACTGGCGGCCCACTCCGTTAGAGAAGCACTGAATGTCTGCCGGTGAGAGCATTCGGTCCTCTGGATGAAGAGCAAAAGGAAAATCATTTGGAATTTAAATGGATCTGTTTGTTCCAACAGTAACTTTATAAGGCTCATAGCTGCAGACTTGTGAACTTGAATCAATTTGTTTATATATGCAAAAGAGCCATGTGGAGATGAAAGTGTCACCTACTGAGTCATTTCTGTAATAATGAAACACATTTTATTTTAAAGCTGTTACATGAAGCATTGTTTATACAATAAAAACAAAAACCTCCATTAGCTAAATCCAAAAAAATCATTGCTGTTATGAAAGCAATCTCATCTTATTTTTGTTGTTTTTGGGTGACCCACAATGAAATCATTCCAAATATACAAACTAAATACACTTTCTGATAGAACTAATCTCTTAACATGGACTAGCAACAGTCAGTAGACCTGGATTAGAGCAGATAAAAATCTAAGATGAGACTTTTTTTTAAAGGTGTGAGACACTCGTTTAATCAATACATTTGCAGTGGTCTCTACAGGAATGCCTTGCAAGTCGCACTGGGGGGGAGGGGGAGGGGGGGTGAGAGGAAGAAAGTGATTTTTTATATAGCGACTCACAAATCACGCGGCACTTCACAAGATTTTTTTTAACCTTTAAAAATATGTTTCAAATGACAATAAATAAAAAATTGTGATTAAAAAATGTAAGGAAAGGGAGAGAGAAAATGATAAGGAAAGAGGGGAATCCGTGGATCCATGGAAAGGTGGAATAGGCAGAAAGAGCAGAATAAGAAGAGGGTGGTGATGAAGGTCACAACAAAGCCAGCTTGAACAGGTTCCAGAGTCTGGGGGCCACAGCAGCAAATGATCTGTCACCTTTGGTCTTTTAGCCTGGTGCTGCACAACCAGTAGGCTTTGGTCACTGGACCTCAGGGACCTGCTGGGGGTGTAGGGACTAAGAAGATCACCAATATAAGATGGTGCTTGTCCATGTAAGGCCCTATAGACCAGAACCAGGATCATGAAATGAACCCTGAAGTTGACTGGCAGCCAGTGAAGCTGGAGGAGAAGCGGGGTGATGTGGGTGTGTTTGGAGGACTTGGTCAGAAGCCGAGCACAGGCATTCTGAACCACCTGCAGACGGTTCAGGGAGGCTCTGCTCAGACACGTGAAAAGAGAGTTACAGTAGTCTAAGCGTGAGGAGATGAAGGTGTGGAGAACTGTCTCAAGTTCAGAGCGGGACAGAATGGGTTAACTAACAATTTTCCTGAGATGGAAGAAGGAAGAGCGAACAAGAGAACTGACATCAGAATCCAGGGTGAGTCCTGGGTCAAAGGTCACAAGATTCCTGACAGAAGGTTTTGGTATGAGAAAAAAGCTGACCAAGAGAGTCTCTGACTTTAGGAACCAGTTTGTCTCGTCTAGGGCACGGAGAAGTCTGCTGGAGCAGAAAGTGGCAGAACACAGCAGGATTTGGAGTCTTATTTCCTGATATTTGGACATTTTGCCTCAGACTGGATAACAGCAACGGGATTCTACCCCTGACTTGCAACTTTGATGTTTTATCTCCACAAATAACAAGCCTGGAGGAGCTTCAGCCGTGTGGTGCAGTTACTCATGCTAACAGTTAGCTTTTACTAGCCGAGATGTCTCTGCTGTTTCCTGCACGTTAAAACAACAACAGCCTTCCCCGTCGTGAGTCAAGATGGAAGAGTCCAAGAGCGTTAAGTGACAGTGTGACATAGATCTGTCAGACTTTTCAAATCCTGGTATTTTCTATTAGAAGCTAATGCAGGAGATAGGTGTAGGAGGTTTTTTAGTGTTCCACACCTTTAATAATCATTATGTCAGTGGTAACAGTAAGTTTTTATTAGGCCATAGGCCCAGAAACCAACCAAAAATTGGTTTACAGTAAAACTGGTTTTCTGGACTCACCAAACACTCTGTTCTGAAACTTGAAGCAGTTGCTAGGGACAGGAGACTCCTCCTGCTGGACTACGATGGGCTGGTGGGTGGGACCTAGGGCCTGATTCTGCAGCTGCTGCTCCAGTCGATCAATCTCTTCATCGCGCAAGCGCTCGGGCTGGCATGACACAATTTACAAAACACTTAAACGTAAACAAAATCTCATTGGGCATATCTTTTTATGTGAATCCATGGGTCAAATCACCAGCGAAGAGCCAAACGGATGCTTACCTGTGACAGGTGGATGTGCTGTAAACAGATATTCAGATTATCCAGACACAAATCCAGGATGTGAGTGCTGGCTTTCAGCTGGATTCTCACACTGAACTCCTGAGGAAGAGCGAGAAGCCGGCAGGCGTGTTGGCAAAGGGACTGCCGCACCGCTCCAGAGCTGTAGCTCTCCAGGAACTGCTGACATGCTGCCACATCCACAAATTTCACCTCCACCCCCAGGAAGGGCTCAGCGTCATGGACCTTTAGGATCTCATAGCCACCAAGGCCTCCTGCAGAATCTGAAAATGGAAAACACTCATTAATTAATCAGGCATGCTGGGTTAGCTTTCCTCCTTTTCAACATGACTAATGGATCCAAGAAGAGGTTTTTACCTATAAGTGTCAACTTGATGACTTTAAAAATGTTGAATTTTTCCTGTTGGTCTTTGTAGAGAGAGAGCAGGTTCACACCAGGAAAGAGAGACTGCAGAAACATGACTGCACATCCCGTCCACTGACCTCCATCCAGAGTCTTGTCCGCCATCCTCTGAACACAGAGCAGCAAATAAGTAAAAAAAAAAAAGTTACTCTATTTTTTCCAGTTCACATAAAAAAATGGCCAAAGGAAGGAAAATTGTAATTGTCATTATTATTACAACAAATATTTATTACGAGGAATAGTCTCTTGAAGTGGACCATCTCGTTTTCAAGAGGGTCCACAAATTAAATTCCAAACAACATAACAGCAGAGCTTTTTCCACAAGACCGCACAACTAAACCGTTCAGAACACACCCACACACACCCGCTCTCAATATTATCCTAACAATATGTTGGTAATTTTTACTCATAACACAGGAACAACCTAAAGATCAACTCTGGATTGTAAACTGAACATTAATTAACCCAAAAAAAAAGCCTTTCTACTGAGCCTGACTTTTAATATTCATTTTTTTCTGAGGCACAACCCAATCACCAGTGCTGCAGTACAGTAATTATTATAGTTGTTGCTGCCAATAACTGGATACAGCCAATTATTAAAGAGCAAGTCACCCCCCAACCAGAGTCAATCCCCCACACTTCCTGTTTGAAAAATTTGCCAAAAGAAGGGTTTGCTTGGTGGACTGAGAGGGCAGCGCTGTGGCACTGACTGACAGCGTCCCCCACATAATCACCCCCTTCCCCTCCCACAACAGACACACAAATGACAGCTAGATGGAAATAATATATTAATTTCAGCCTGTTTTACTTATTGGACTAATTTTGGTATGTCGGCCGATACCGATATTGGTGCTGATATATCACGCATCGCAATTTTTTTCCACCAAGTTTGGCTTAGATAACCTATCATCCTCAAAGACCAAGTTCACAGAGAAACTGTTTATACTCTTTATTTTGTAAATCTCATCAGTCACTCTGAGTTTAAACATGCAGGCCACCCAAGAAATTAGTCTTTCACCCCTATTTCCTGCATTAGCCGCTGACTTGGGGAAATGCTCGGAACAGAAAAGACACTCAGATCTACATCCCACTGCAAAATAGATGTCATGGACTCACGCATCTTGGCTTGCAACGAGGAACGCTGTTATTGATTAAGCGCTCAGGAAAGAGCAGAGCGCATATTGGCTAGTAGAATCTAACTGTTAGCATTAGCAACTCCACAACATGAAGTTACAGTCCCATAAGTCATCACAACCTGGTGAAATTACATCTCCGCATTTGACCCATCCCGATGGGGAGCGGTGAGCTGCAGCAGTGGCTGCGCTAGGGAACTACTTGGTGGTTTAACCCCCCAACCCAACCCCTTAATGCTAAGTGTCAAGCAGGGAGGCATTGGGTCCCATCTTTATAGTCTTTGGTATAACCTGACCATGGATTTGAACCCACAATCTCCCAGTCTCAGAGCAGACACTCAAACCACTAGGGCAGAACTTGGTAGAGTCGCATTGCTGTTAGCCAATCAGAGGCGAGAATCCTGCCATCTTCTGCTCTGGCTCACTTCTTGTTCCTGAATCAGGAGCGCAAGACCTTCTTTCCCCACAGAAATCGACTCACAAGGCACTCATTTATATCAGAGACCACTGAAAATGTGTTGAAAGAACAAGTGAACTTGGTCTTTATTAAATTAAACTGCAATGTGCATTTAATTGGGTCATCTTCACCTGATACTGAACTTTTTTTTGCTGGTCTGAAACATTCATGTGTGACAAAGTAAAAACAGAAGTGTGTGAGGGGGTAAATACTTTCACAGAGAACTGGTCAATGGTTATAATGTCGGCTCGCCTCATCTTTTCTCCTACCCCCTCCTCCTTTGGAAACCCTCATTACATAAAAACATGTATAATCTGGTCCCTACACCCCCCCCACCCCCACCCCCCCCCCCAGCCTGGTACCTAACTCCTGTTCCCTGGATGAACCAGCGCAGCTTCCTCCTGGTGTTGTCTCCACACTCCCTGATGGGGAGGCGCTCTGTGTGGAAGCACCATCCTCTGAGTTGGATTATAATGCATTTCCTCATATTTCACTAATACAGTGGGCTGGGAAACTAGGTCTATCGGGAATGTCTACAACTTAGCCAGTGTGCAGTTTTATGTGACCCTATCTGCTGCCACTCTGCAAGTACACTGTGAGATTATTTTACCAGCTGTATGAGGATTAAATGAACAGTAGGAGCTTAAAATACATCACTTATCATTTGCTCTAGTGATCCCTGGACAGCTCATCTGACATTCAAGCAACAGAAAATTGGATTCACGTGAGAATGCGTTGACACAATTTAGCTAACATCTTTTTGAGGTTTGTTTTGGCTTGCTTTGTCCAGAAAACGCCTCAAATGTTCGTGGATATTATGTTAAGTAAAACTCAGTGGCCAAAATCAGAAGTCTTTCTTAAAAAGACGTAGCTGAAACCCCGCTTTTCATGCCAGTCTTAAATTAAGACAATCTTGTGTAAAGAAATGATGGGTGTTTGGTAAAATGTCGAAAGAAATACACGTGACCTCTCGCAATAATGCAAGACCTCACAATAGTAATTAACTCAATATCTGCCAAATTAACAGCAATTCTTCTGCGTTGGCTAATGTTAATTAGCTGTAGCAACCTCCAAAAGTTAATCACACATACATCCAAAAATTATTTTGGGAGTTTTTTCTAAAGTTGTCAAGTGGTTTGTGAAGTGTTCTATTAGCAAACTAACAAAGGAAAACGTGCACACAGGCAAAAACATTATTGCAAACCTTTTGCAATAAAAAGACAATGCCACCAAAAACGTTTTGCACTGACTTAAACAGAAAAACTTATAATAAATCACTGAATTTACCCTTGAAATGAAAAGCTTTGATTAAAACTGATATATGTTGAATAGCTAATCAGAAATGTGAAAAGAGCTAGAGGCTGAGCTAGCCGACATACTAAACCACGTTTAGCTTGTTTGTGTTTGCAACAGTGAAACTGGAGCTCATTAACACCTAGTAGAAAATAGTGGTGAAGGACACGGCCATTTACATCCGTGGAGAGGGTGTGTTCATGGAGTTCGGGACGAAACTGGACCTGACCTTTGTTTTGCCAACATGAGAGGTGTGTAGCTGTTCTGCATTAGCTGTCGTTTGTTCATTTTTGAGCTCTAAAATATGTGTTACCTCCCATGTCTGGAGACAGCGACTGATTTTAAAACAATGAGGAAAAAAGAGGTAAATGCAAAAATGTGTGAGCTGAAGACAGCAGCTGGGAGTCCCACTACAAATATTTTGACCTCAATTAACACTGCTGCTACCTGCCTGTCAGCGGCCATATTTGTGTATGAGAGCAAGAGTAAAAGGCCACAGTTCTCCTGGCTGTTGGCCAAATGCCAGACGCTGTAATGTATTTCTAGCAAAAGCATCCCCCGTGACAGCGCGTGGCATCGGAAATGAAACCACAGGTGTAGCAACCGAAGCAACTGTCAACACCGAACCTGTGGTGGAAAATTTTACCTGAGATGTTTCACCTGACTGAATGTCAAACCAATATCCAGTATTCTGTTTTTAAATAACTTTTTATCTCATCTTCTAATGTAGTTTCCTTTTTCACCGTAGAAGTTCAAAAACACCAAATAACTGAGTTCAACCCTTAAAAGTAGGAATGGCTTTCCTGAAAAAGCCATTCGAGCAAGCTACTTTGTCTAAACACAAGTATAAGGTCCAACCCCTTTCTTCAGGCTTACCCCTTCATGCCGCACCTTAATATAGGAATGCTGTTTTCAACCTGTTGTTGGGACTTTTTCTGCAATTATTCCTAACGTAAAGTACATATGTAACCGTGTAACAATGTAGTAGATGTAGTGTGGTGTTTTTATGGTGAAAACTTATGCAATTTATAGCTTTTTTGGTTTATTCTTAACTTAAAAGTCACAGCAGCTCGGTGCTACCAGCAATCTGGGAAAACTTCACAAACAACAGGTCAAAACTTCCAGAACCCAACCCAAACTAGTCACCCGTCTCTGCTGGTTTCTCACAAACGGGTGTAACTCTGCCAGCGGACAGATGACAGCTGCATTAACAGGCCCTTCACCTAAATGTTTCCCAAAAATAAAAGATCCAGACTCTAAAGAAAACAACTTCTTAAATGAAATTTGCAAATGGCAAAACAAAACAAATATTCTCTCTGTTACACTAGGCAGTCCAGTTCTGACTTTAATCCCTGCTCAGCTGCTCTAAAGCGAGAATGCGTGATTTTTGCACATAGAGGGAGTATGTGCAGCGGGAGCAGACATTCACAGTTATCTTGATTAGGTTTTTCCTGGTTCTTACATTTTAGAGGCAATAAAAATTATACATTTTTGGACAAAATTTTTAATTTATTGGTTGCCATTAGTATGTGAAAAGCATCTCAAACAATATGGTTAAAAAATGCTCCAGACATACCCCCCCACTACTACAAGTTTCATCCACTAGTTTTATTGAACAAGTCTCATTTTAAGAAACGTCAAGGTTTCCTAGCGCATTTCTTTTGTTAAAACATTTTAACCCAGTCGATTTAGTATAAAAAAGAAAATGTCTTTCAATGTCAATAAAGTGACAATGTGTATTTTTCCTGGCGATAAGGGGGAAGCACATGTCTAAATCATTGTACGTAAGCAGTATTTTTGTGTTAGTCGCCTTGCGAGGCCGGGTGCCTTGACACTGAGAAACATCCACAGACTTGCTCACATGCATTTTAAACCCGTTTTTATGGTTATGTGTAAACTGCCAATAATTTTCAACAACTGGTCATCATTTAATTCATTTTCAACAACATTTTGATGGATTTTTCCAGAGATTCAAAGTAAAACCTACACATTGTCTTTAAAGAAAAAAATTCAGTGTTTACCAAACCTGAATTTTATACTGGCAGCACCATCATCTAAAAATAAATAAATATATATAACGTTTTTTTAATGCTCGACAAATTATCTTAAAGCATCTTAAAATGATGTTTTTTTAAAATATATGTTCTCAGACAAAATGTCAAATATGTCATCTATTATGCACCTTTTAACATAATAAAAGAATTAAGTTTCATAGACTGTAACAACACAACCTTATTGTAATCTTAAAATCAAGCACTGTGTGAAAAAAACAGCCTAAATGTGGTGAATCACACTGAGCAGAGGCATAAAAGCAAACATGAAGGGCACAGTAGAGCAGTGGGGTGTAGTTTTGTCTCAGCTGCAAGGGGAGAGGTGGAGCAGATTGGTCCTGGGAATAGAGCCAGGTGAGGTTAATGAGTGTATCAGCAGGGTATTGTCTAATCAAGCCCTTTCTCTGTCTTTATATGCAGAAGTGAAGCGAAACCCTGGAGAGTGCTTGGACGCCTGCTCGAGTGCACGCTGCTGTATTTGTGTTGGGGTGGATGGGTGTGGATGTGCATTTCCACCAGCCAGCCAGGTACTACTCAGCGTGCACGATGTTTTGTGCATGAAGTAAGCTACCTCGGGCAGTTTCTGTTCTGAGAGGAACCCAGGGTAGCAACAACTTCTTCACACAAACACACCAACCTAGAATCATTGTTATGGTAATTAATGAAGGGCCTTCTCACAGCAGTCATTTTGTCATGAAACACTTGGAAAAAGGTGTTATTAATCCTGCTGATTGCCACTCTGTTCCTAAATAGAACACAATCTTTGATATAATTACTAACTCATGTTCACAATACTAGCTTACTGCCTATGTGTATATACAGTACATGTACCTTTATTATGAATTTTCTTCAGATGTATTCTCTTGTCTCTGTGCTGCTGTCAAAAGTGAATTTCCCCACTGTGGGATCAATAAAATCTATTTTATTCCATTCTATTGTATTTTCCTACTATTTATGTGGGAAATTGTTTAAAAAAAGACAATCATTTTACAAATTAATTCATGTTATTTCTGTTACCAAATAACCTTTAAATATATTCTTTAATCAGAAAATGAGGCTGAAAACCAATAATCTGGACAACTATTGGATGTCATCAAAATTCATATGCAGGTTTTAAAAATGACTAAGTAGTAATGTGTGCAAGTTGTACTAAATGTTTATTATTATGAAAATGTAAAAGAGCTAAAATCAGGAAACAAACATAAATATAAGAGACCAAAACATCATCAAACCTCATCAAAATATTGCTCATTTGATTTTAGCCAAAAGGGGCATGCATCAATATAAATCTATTTCTAAAACATAATCAGCGAGCATGTTGCGTATCATCCGATCAGGAACACAGGTGCTCTGACAGCCCATGGGATATAGGCATAGAAAAAAGGAAGAATGGCTGGAGCAGACTGGTCCTGAAAAGTCTTTAATAGCTGCAAAAAAACAGAACTGACAAGACATTTCTAACGTTTCGACAAGAAGACATTTCTCGACAAAACTTTAGTTCTGTTTGTTTGCACCTAAAGAATTTTCAGGACCAGTCTGCTCCAGGCATTCTTCCTTTTTTATATTTCTAATTACTAAGACTATGAAACTCACAATTTTTGTCTTTAAACAACTCAAAGATCCTTATTTGTCAAAGAAAATAATTGCAATGGAAGAGATCACTCCCCCCAGAAAAGAAATACTCCATAACAGGATAAAACTAGAATAGTTGTTTATTTACATTCCCTTTAATGCAATAATGTTCAATTTGGTCCTGAAAGGGCCACCTTCCTACATATTTTAAGAGGTTTATCTTGCTTCAGCACACCAGATTTTAATCAGCAGACAATTAACAGGTTTCTGCAAGCCAAATGCAAACATTGAATTAAATGTGTTGGAGCAGGGAAACAACTTAAACATGCCGGATATGAGATTGAGGACCAGGATCTGGGGGAACACTAGCCTTGTGAACTAGACCAAATTCTTGCTTTGCAAAGAAAGCTTGCCAGGCTAGGGGAACACTACTTTAAAGGCTAATTATAGCATTATAGAAATCAGATTATTTTAGTATTATCTGTCATACTTTGATATTTATTTTTCAGCATGTTATTAGAATGAAAATTGATGGATTTACATCTAAAACTTTAACTGCATTGTAATATCATTTCTTAGAGTTTTAATTTAGTCTCTTTAGGATGCAGAACCTGTTTGTTGTGTAAAAATTATTATTGTAATGTTTTAAGACTCTTAAGGTATTGTGATCTGTTTACATGAACTATCGGTGTTTCAAGTATAAAACAGTAACCATTAGTGTCCTCCAACAAAGCATGCGCAAAGCTACATATGATTTCAGTTTCAGTAGAAGTCACCTGCCACCAGAGGTAACTTTTCCAAGCAGTGATCAAACCTTCTTGTTGTTTTTAATCGCCCCATGGAACACAAAAGTGTCTTAAGTGTGTGAAACTTTTACTTAGTGTCGTTTGGGGAGAGATGCACAGCTCGTGCTCGAAAAACGTCACAGCTCAAAAAACTTCCCGCTGTTAATTATTTTCCTGCGTAAAGGCGGGCGAGCGCACACATGAAGCTTTTAAATAACCGGACTTCTGCTTTGCTGTGAGGTCAAACTTACAGTTGGGACAAACTTACCTTAAAACGGTTTAGTTTGTTCGGTTAGGCTTCCTCCTTAGAAATCACACCCACTGACAGGGACTTCCTGGCTTCCCGTTGGCTGAGTGAAATCAACCTACGTTCTGATTGGTGGAAATTGTTGCGCTGACTGATGACAAAAAGGAAGTGTAAATTTGGCATTGCAGTACATTTATCTTTTGTAGAAAACATTTCCTAGAAACAAGAGGGAAGAGTTTCCGGTATTATAAAATCGAATTATGTATTCAGGTTGAAATAATCGGAGTTGGAAACACCACACCGTCTGTTTATTTTTGTCCTCTTTCTCACTATGAGGAAAATGTGAGCTGATTAAAAATTAGTTTCCATTTTCTGGTCTTATGCAGCTCTGACAGAAATAAATTACATATAACCTGTTAAAATAATAATTTATTATGTAAAAATTAGGAAACTATGTAATTTTGGGTGAATACCGAGGAAGTTAAAACAATTTCTGGGTTTTGATACTTAAACTAGATCATGGTGAAATGAATTAGCTTTAGGATTTGTCTGCTTTGACATAGTTGATCATGTTATTGTTGATGGATTTAAAAAAACGTGGGTTGTGATTTCTGGTTTATTCTGGCGTCCTCTGACAGGAGGATTGAGCTATCAATAGAAAGCTTTAAACATCAACTTAATAATCGTTTTCAACATACTTTTGTATTTGACATTTCACATTTAGCTCAAATTTTTACAATATGTTAATGCTTTTTCATTACGACGATATTTTATATAGCGCCTCTCAAGATAAAAATCACACAGAGCTTCATAAAAACAAAAAATAAATTAAAGTATAAAAAGATTTTTAAAATGATTAGAAGTGTGTTTAAAAGGAGAAAAGGAAAAAATGTAAGGAAAGGGGGAGAGAAAATGAATATGAAAGAGGGAAATCATTTCCATATCAATAGCGATTTACTGATTTTCACATTTTAAAAACCAGACTTTTTTTTACTAAGCCAGAATTTGAACATTAGGAGTCATTTATTTGTTTAACGGTTAATGGGTTTAATGCCATTTTTATTGGTGGAGAGTTTTAAATATTTGGGGACTCAGATAGATGCTCATCTGTCCTTTCAACAACACTCAGATTCCATTTACAATAAGGCACTCCAGCGCCTCCATCTCATCAGGAAATTAAGGGATTTTAATGTCAGGAAAAACATCGTAACTGTCTTAACGGTCAATCATAGAATCCATTTTAACGTTTAACATTACATCCTGGTACAACTTTCTCACTTGTAAGCACAAAAATAAACTGCAACGGATCAAGCAGGCAAAATAATTGGTTCACTACAAACTCCCCCTTTCCCTTCTGCACGAGCGCTCTGTGATCAGGAAAGCCACACTGATCACAGAGGAACCTTCTCATCCCCTCCACCATTCCTTCAGTCTTCTCCCATCAGGCAGGAGATACAGAATCGCACTGTCCAAAAAAGCAATCCATAAGAAATCATTCATCCCATCAGCAATCACAGCCCTCAACAGACACAGAACTTCAATAACCCGCAAATTATTTTGTATTTTTAGGCATCTAGTTGCATCTTTGGTTTTATGGCTTTTGAGCTTATATCTGTGCTTTTAGTTTTTTTATGATTTTATTGTATTTACTGCTCTATGAAAGTGTGAATGATGAGGATGATGATGAGCCCTGTTGAAAGACAAATTTCTGTAACCGCTTGGCGTCAGACAATAAGTTTTTCTATTCTATTCTATTTTTTTGTTAAAAGAACCATCTGCCTCTGTTGTCTCCTTTAAAAAGCAGCTGAAAACTCACCTGTTCAAGCTGGCTTTTGTATGACCTTCTTCACCACTCTCTCCTTATTCTGCCCTCCCCACCTATTCCACCTTCCTCAGGATCCACTGATTTCCCTCTTTCCTATTCACTCTCTTTCTTTAAAATGTTTTTTAATCACAATTGTCTATTTTTGCTTATTTTAAACATATTTTTAATCATTTTCTAAATTCTTTTTTATATTTAAAATTTTTTGTTTTTGTGAAGCGCCTCTTGATTTTTATCTTGAGAGGCGCTTTAGAAAAGATTGTTTCTTCTTCTTCTTCTTCTTCTTCTGCCAAAGTGCATTCAGGATAAAAATGTCCATAACAGAAACAAATAAGGTGATATTTATATGTTTATTCATAGTAGACAAAAGAAAAATCGTAAAACTCCTTGCCCGGAGAGGAACCTTTGTTGTTGACTTGTTTCACAAATTTCAGCGTTTCTTTGTCTCTGTAGACGAGAGCGAGAGAATTTTCCTCTGGATACACGGTCAGAAGCTGTAAAGGTTTACATGAAGAAATAATTATATCCACTGGTGTGTTGCTTCTGCCATCATCGTCAGCACTCACCTCCTCATCCTCTTCATTGGCTACGTAGCAGGTGTATCCCCCAAACTCGGACTGCCAGTCTATGAACGACAAATCCTCCGAGCATTCAATTAAAAATCATTTCTATTTTTCATTTTACTTTATTTGTTTGCGTTCACCTGTGCAGCCAAAAGGTAAAATCAGGTCCAGAGCGTATTCTGCCCGTGCAGCATCGCCATCGTGCAACAAAGTGTAGCTGCCATGAGACCAGCGGCGCACCTCTCCGCTACACACAGGTGTGCTCAGCTCTAAAAGATTCATAAAGGTTAGCGCTCACAAACAATCCTGCTGCTGAAAGAAAAACCCAGCCAACACTTACCTTTCTCTCTGCTTGGATTTGCTCCTGTGGATGACGATGCAGCTGCTGAAGATCCTGCTGCTTCTTCATTTTCGTCTTCCTCCTCCTCATCATCAGCAGGACACATGTAGTGCAGCCGAAGGCCGGTGTAGTTGGAGAGCAGCAGGAAGAACGCCTCTGAGTGAAGCAGCTCCCAACACATGCTCACACACTCGGGCAGGGTATCCAGAGAGGCCGCCTCGTAGCACCTGGAAGCACATTAGTGTCCCTCAAAACATTCCAGCATCGCGCTCACACAGCAGATACTCTGTCAGACGCCAACCTCTTATTGGGTGGACCTCTCTTGGTCCACTGAATCTGAGCCAGCTGCAGAGCTTCACTCACCTCCCTGAACTTCTCCTCCTGGAGACAAATCAGTCAGAAATGAGCAGACACAAGGGAATCCGGTGGGTAACACAGATGAGAAGTTACCTTGAGGAAACCTTTGAGCTGGATTTCAGAACTCTCTTCAAACTCCTCTTGGATCTGCTCCTGATAGAAAATATCCAGATAGAGGGGATTGATCCACTCCTGCACAATCGTCTCCTGTCAGGAACAAAAGGGAACCAGCTACATTAGAGTAGAAAATGTATTTTTAGTTAGTGTGGAACACAATAACTACAAAAAAACCTTTTCTTTTTAATTCTAGTGTGTACGCTGGTCCAAGCACACCGATCGCTGGTTTCATCTTACGTCTCTCGGTATGTGTGGACTCCTTGGGACGGGCGGTTCCAGGTGACGAGGAGGTCGCTCCAAAGTCGGTCCATGAAACCAGCCGCTCAGAGACAAACGACACTTGTCCTGGGATAAAACTTCTGACACCTGATGAAGAAACACCTCCAGGTTACAGGCTTTTCTTTCTTTCGTTAAGTTAAAAACTTAAATACTCACTTGGTGAAAAGAAACTGGAGAAACTTCAAAGAGGACCAGAGTGTTCCTGGAGGGCACGAGTGACTTCACTATGCTTTGAGGCTGGAAGTTACCTGATTACAGAGACATAAATACACAGGCATCTGTTAATTAAAAGTGTGTATACACACACACACACACACACACACACACACACACACACACACACACACACACACACACACACACACACACACACACACACACACACACAGGAGATCCTTACTGTCTGTTGTGTAAAGATCAAGGGTTCCCCCATCACTCCTCTGCCACGGAGGGACAAGATACAAAATGAAGGCGACACGTCTCCCTTCCAGTTCATCATCATGACACAACAGGACATCTTAGAAGACAGAACAGGATTCATCAAAACAAACAAAAAGATAAAATTTTTAAAAATGAATCAACTTCCTTTGCCATCTTTCAGAAAGTGAGTGATTCCCACCTGTGTATTCATATTTAGCACAAGAAATGTCCACCGTGGGCTCTAGTTCAACGCCCAAGACTTCCCCAAGCCAGGAGCGGAAACGCTCAAACAGAGCCGCCCTGCAGACACACACTCAGCCCTCAGTCTCTGTGCTGTTACACATCAGTAACACACACCAAACGCTGCTGCACATCTGCTCCCCACAAACACAAGTCTGCCCAAAGCCCACCATGACATTTTCAGCTACATGAATAATAAATGACCACAAAGGGGAGACTGTTACCGTTTGTTTAATTGCTGCTTTCTATTCCCCACAGCTGTTTTTCATTAGGTGTGGCAGCTTAACAGCCAGACTCACATGTTAGTGAACAAAGACATTATTTCTCTTTTTAAAATCTGAGCTCAGAATTGTCATTTATTTCTTGCGTTCTTTTCACAATTACTCCCAGCCACAGCTGTAATTCTGCTACTTAGATAAAGGTCATTGTGGTGTTTTGTTTTTAAAAGCACTGAATAAAAAGTATTGGGGGACAAATGTTTATTTACTGTGATAATGTGGAAATGAATGTTATTACAAACATGTGTTTATTCAAACTGATTTTTCCTGCTGCAAACACAGCTTATGTAAAAATCATGAGCCAATAAGAGAGAGACATTTACCTTCAGGCTGACAGGTGAGTTTCACAGGTCTTACAAAACAATTAATGCCAATATTTACATTTTCAGATATGTTTTTTGGTTTGTTTTAGTAAAAAAAATACTTCATATATATTTATTAAGGACACAATCTGATCTTTTTCAAAGCATACAATCAATCCTGGATTCAGACAATAACTTATTTTCTTCTTTTTTTTAACTCAAATTTTTATCTTTCATCTGTTTATGAAATTTTATAATTTTATGACTTTATTCTTTCTGATGTTAATCTGATTCTGCTTTTAGATCAATATGATTTTATGACTTTGTTTTATTTTGCTTTGATCTATGTGAAGCACTTTGTGATTCTATGTCTGTGATAAGCGCTATATAAATAAAATTTACTTACTACAATAAAACTAACTTTAAAGTGTCACTTAAAGAGTGAGCGTGATCTCTGGCGCCACCTGGTGGAAATTCCACGAGTCTGCTCACATGCTGAATGAAAAGGTTCCGTGAATCACAAAATCTTGGAAATGGACATTTTTATGTCACATTTTGGTGAAAAGATGTGGTTAAATGATAAAGAGTGTAATTTAGAAATGAGAAAAGTAAAATCGGATACAATAACATGGAATTTGGAAATAAAAATGGAAAGATGGAACATTATGGTCATGAACTGTAGCATAACCTAGCCTCTGTCAGTGTGCCCCAGGGCAGCTGTGGCTACAGTGTAGCTCATCACCATCAGTGTGTGAATGGGTGAATGATGCACTGTAGTGTAAAGCACTATGAAGTCCTCAGACTCTGAAAGGTGCTATACAAGTGTGGGTCATTTATCAAATGTGCATATAAAGAGACATTGACAGATTAAAACTGACTGACACGCTGACCTGTGGATCCATTTATTACCTCAGTCCTGCGATATGTGGCTCCTTTCTCTTTTTCAAGTCATTTGACTGCATGGGAATGACAAAAACAACAGAGGTTATGAAAACACAGGATTTAATCCGTTAACTGATGATGTGTGGAGTCACTTTGGGGATCACCTGTTTAAATTTGTACAGATCATTAGATTTCTCGTTGAAGTTGAGTTCCAGTAGCTCTTTCTGGAGGTTTTCTACAAAAGTTTCACTCCTGATGAAGTTCTTGATGATGCAGTGGGGGAAAGGGTAGCAGTCTAGTTCTAAATCACCTACAGAACATTCACAGAAACAAAGTGTCAGTCTGTTTTCACAAAACTTACATCAGGCTTTAAACAGCGAGTAACACCTAAATCAACTTTTTTTTGCTGATAACCTGTATAGATGAGTATCTAATGGTGCTGTAGACATGTGTAATCATTGTTTTGGTAGTTTAGTGCAACTTACGTTAAATTTAATATTTCAGCCCACAACCATAATTATATCTCCATCTTCAGGTTAAAACTCTGCTCCACATTGATTTAGAATCAGCAACAGCTGACAGCTGTAGCGCTGCAGGGTGACGTCATCTGTACCGCACTAGTGGCTCCACTACACTGTACTCCTGCTGAGTCTCGGCCGCACCTCCACCCGGCTCAACCACTCACCTGCTGATATTACACTTGGTGCTTTAAGCTGGTCGCCTCCTTAAAAATAAAAAAAAACATCCTCCACCCCTTTCTCCTAGTGATCATGGTGAAAAGGAAACCCTACTTCTTGCAGTCAGTTTCTGTGTCTGCTCTTCTCCTGAGCGGTGAGTCTGCTCTTTGTGTGTGCTCGTGTGCACGCTCATGTTAACATCTCGTTTTTCAGAAAAAACTACGAGAGAGCGTGTGGGGGGATTAAATCATTACCTCAGTGCCGCTCTCTGTCCTTCAGGCCACGCCTTTTTTCCTGATATTTTTCTAACAAGAAGTCTGGTTGAAATAAGTCTGCACCCATGATGTTACTCCCCCTTTAATATGAGCCCTATCACAGTAAAAATAACAAATCTTCCACGTGGAAGTATGTTCCCCCGGTGTAGGACACAGGTCACTGTCCCTGTAGTTTTATATCTATTTTTTTCAATATATTTCTTCTATTCTATATCCCTTTTATCAATTACTTGACTACTATATTTCCTGCTTTGTCTGTGCCAGTTTAACGCTCTTCTGTGCTCTCCCATGATGTGTTTTTATCTCCGTCAAGCACTTTAGACAACAACTTGCTGTTTTACAGTGCTATATAAATAAACTTTGATTTGATTTAGAAGGTTTTACTTCCATGATCACAAATTTGGTGTTAGTTAAAGTTACTTTAAAAAATGTCATCAGTTATTTGTGTTTTGTTTTCTTTTAGAGGAATAGGAACTGGCCAGAATCTGTATAGGTGGGTCAAAGCTGAAGAATCAGAAATCGGTATCAGCCCTCGAAACCTGAATCAGTGGATTCTGTACAAACTCTTACGCTATACCGATCGACAGTATAAATAGACTTGGGTGAGTAATTTAATGTTCCTAGAGAGAATTACTGATTGACTAAGAATAAACAAAACAAATGCTACAAAACATTAAAGTCAAAAGTGAGAACACCCATCCAGACCCGGTGCACTGACCCTGGCTGTAGTGAGTCCTGCGGACCCACGCCTCCTTCACGGCTTTCTTCAGCTGCTCGTCCTCCACATCTGGACAAAGCTCCGCCGTCTCCTCGCAGCTTTTCTTCTTCTTCCTCTTGTCTGCAGCTCCGCTCTCCTCCTGAGCCCGTTTGGAGGGCATACTATTAACTATCCTAAAACTAATAAACCAACACGTCAGACTTTACGTGACAGACACGGAGAAGCTGAAACTAGTGGGTCGAACGTCGCGCATAAATGACGTATGTATTTGAACGTTACTGTTTTGCTCGGGTTTGCCCCGTGTTTTGTCAGGGTATGTACAGTCTATGGTCAGGGTACACCAAAGAACTGATAAATTATGTTAATCAAATTCAAATAGATTTTTTAAGATTCACACGCTTTTCCGTTTTTTTTAAATATTCATGTTTATTTTTGCGCAAACATACTTTTGCAGAGCTTTTTGTCGTCAACAGTTCTATAACAGCTGGGTTTTTGTCCAGTTTAAAAATAAGTCCTTTTTCATCTGGCTCAAGTACAGCCTCCGAAAAAAAGTGCGAAATTAAAGGTGCAGTGTGTGTAAATAAAAAAGCAAAAATAAAATTCTACCTTTTTCCAATCATATTTTGGAGTAATAATGCTCGGGACATGTTTGGTTATTTGTTTGTATCTCTCAAGATAAAAATCAAACATGTTATTAGCAATTTAAAGTCATTTCCCAAGAGAAAATTAAAAACCTATCCCTAAAAGAAACTGAACCGAATTTTACAAATTTGTGCACAGCACCTGAGTGCAAACACAAACTCTTTTTGCTGAAAATGTTGGTTTGAACATTTAGTTTGAACTTGTTGCTATTTTTGTTGCTTCACTTCACTAGAAAATTTTTCTATAACACAAATATTTGTTGCTAATAATTTATTCTGAAAGTATATCTGGTGTTTACATCTTTACATGCAACTAAAATGCATGTATTTAAAACTGTTCACTTACACTGCAATCGCAATGAGTAACAATGTAATTAGTTCTATTATCAGAAATCAGAACTGGAATATTTTCTCGTTTTGGAATATGTGTGTTCCTTAAATGAATAAAAATAACTTCATACTAGGGCTGGGCAATATGGCCTAAAATCATATCACGATATATTGAGGATTTCATCTCGATAACGACAGATATGTGCAGAAAGAAGTTGTCCACTAGATGGGGATGTCACATGTGTTATGTTGATGACGTGACTCAAGGTGATACAGCTAGGGACATGAACATGTCTAACCTACACACACAAGTCATTTTTATTATCAAATTCACTGACATGGGGAAAATGATCTCGATAAGTCAGAAATTTCGATAACGATACATTTTTGATTTATTGCCCAGCCCTACTTCATACAAAGCTTTAAAATGATGCTCATTAAGACTCACCAGCTCTTTGAATGTTATAAAAACACACAAAATGCTGCTTTATTACAAGAAAAATAACATTGTCATTACAGCTTAAAACAACAGGAAACAATGTTTTTTTGTTTTGTTATTTTATTAAACACAGACAACTTTTACCTGAACATAAAACCAAATCCTAAACACATTCAAATACAGACCTGCACATAGTAAAAAGTTGCAGTTTCTCAAGTTTAAAAAAAAGATAAACAGGACATGTCTAGACATTATTGTTTTCTCCTGACTCCAGTATAAACAGCCCTGTGGACTTGAATACACCCAACATCACAAGAGATTTTTTTTCTTTTCGTTTGTTTATAAAAGAAACCAGAGGTGGAAGTCCTTCTCAACACAAAGACACTTGCTGTGCTCACAGAGACAGCCTGACACACTTCTGTCCACTCTAGTTAGTTGTAGATGAAGTTGAATCTGTGAAAAAAAACAAGAGTATTAAAAAGTAAGTTGATTTTAAGAAATACACACAAAACAATTTTTTTAAACATGGGACTCAAACTTTACCTGCTCAACAGCTGCGGTAGACTGGAAATGATTGGTCCATATCCAGGAGCGTTATCATATAGTTCAAACAACGGGGCAGCCACCAGCTTATAATTCTTGGGAACGGCAAACAGTGCTGTGGACGCATCAATTACACTTTATAAAACCTTTTCATACTTTCAACAGAATCTTTTCATCCTCTAAACCTGAACGTGAAGCAACTTCACAAGCTCTGACCTTTCTCCTGCAGCTGAACCAGGAACAGCTTTTTATGCTCTTTAGGTTTGGTGATATGAGCTGGAATGTAAGGATACTGGAAGAGAAACAGCTTCTTGTTAGATCCCGTTAGGAAATAAGATAGATAAACAAAAAGTAAATTAGTCAAATCCAAAACGACTGCTTTGTTATTGTCATGCGATTTCAAAATAAAGATCAAATCAGTGTTGTATTCTGTAGCTGATCTCTGTAAACAGTGAGCTGCAACTCAAAGTGGATCTTTGGAAACCAAGCTGGACATCAGGTTTTCTTCCATGTTAATTCTACAGTTTTTTTTTCCTAAAACTTTCCCAAATCTCTTGAATGGTACATCTAGTTTAATTATTACAGCTCAAGTCACCCATCTATACTAACCTGTGGAGGCTCAAAGTTAGGACGCCACCAGTTTCCAATACAGTCGTCAATCACCCAG